AGAGCCTACAGCTAATTTTGGAAACCAAGGCAACCTACAGATTAATTAGTTATCTGCTAGCAGATTACTAACTAATCTGTAGGTTGGGTGCGCGATGCATGATTTCCAATAACAACATCAATTCAGGTTCCTTGCGACAGCGTGTTTGTCGTTACTTTCTTCAAAACAATGTATAATAAAGCAATTTTTAGATCTTAAATAATCAGGGTCTCGGTAAGTGTTATCAACATCAGCCTTCAGCTTGGCTGATTACACTTATCTCGACCTCGATTGTTTCGGATATCACCAAACTTCATCCAATAATTACTGTTTATAACAGTAGCACTCAAGGAAAGAGCCAACACAACAGAAGGCATGCATAGGCAAATTGAAGATTGAAGTACATGAAGGCTTCAAAAACTGCTCTGGCTAACAGTTTTTCAAGATTATCTGAGATTTGTACAATTAAATATTGCTAGACTGGACTGCCATAACAATACCCCCTTTCAAAAGTAATATATGAAATTGAGAGGTACTCCATGAAGTGAGCAAAAAGCAACCTTTTTTTTAATATCAAGACTCCTACAACAGGATCACTACAAATTTGACTTAAGGATGACAGCTGTTGCACTACTGTTTCCTCTGATGAAGACCCAGTTTTTCAGAAGTAGACAGAGTATTGTATCCTTTGGAATAAAACTGGTTGAAAAAAACCTTCAACAAATTCTCACATTGTTCGTTTTGCAGTTGTGCTGAATTAAATATTTCCAACCAAGAGAAGGTTGTTGACTTTGTGAAGAACAATTCAAGATCAGTTTCAGGTGCCACAGGTTCATAGCCATCATGTTTGATCTGGTGTGTTAGTCAAACCAAAGGTCCCAGGAGTCATCCCAATGTCAGATGCACTCTTCTTAGATCTGGCACGCATCTCTCTTATTTGCGCTTCAGTCTGTTTACACACAAGCAACAAACGCTAAGAGCTTATGATTAAATGAACTTCCCTGAATTTAGCATTTTTTTTAAGTGGATCTTGCTGGTTCATACCTCAAGTGCGTTGGTTCAAAACAAAGTAAAATATTTGCATAAATTCAAAAAACCTGATATTGAAATATTTCACCTTATAAGGAAATTTCATTATGACGTTTGCGTGTTAACTCTTGGCAAGAAGATTCCTGCCAACTGCAATAGTTACTGAGCCATAACTATTCAAGGTAAACTTTGTCTGGGCTGAAAAGCCAACCTTACATGCTAGAAGACTATGTGTCATGTTTTCACAAAGAGTATAATAACATTAACATTATTAGAAGTAACTACACAATGTGGCTGCCAGAATTGGTTTTTGATGGTAAGTTATCCCGTGTTGTGGAGTTTTTAAAGCAAATCACAACAGAGTATGTACCGTTACATACACTTTCCCTAGCCTGCGACGCAGGCGTTTGAAAGGGAAGGGAAAGGGAGTTTTAGGCGCGAGAGAAACGCGAGGGGAGCGCAAGGAGGGAGGGAAAGAGGTTCCCTTCCTCCTCGCGCGCCCCGGCCCTCGCGTTTCTCTCGCGCCTAAAACTCCCTTTCCCTCCCCTTCCAAACGCCTGCCACGCAGGCTACACTTTCCCCAGATACGCACGCTGCAGATATTCCTCCTACTTGGTAGCAAGCCAGGCAACAATATTAATATAGTAATCGATACTGAAGTTGTAGTAATTGTTGTAGTATCTACTGACTGCTTAAAACTACTTGGGGTATCAATGGACAGGCAACTTCGTTTTCATGATCACATAAGTATAACCTATAAGAAAAGCAGTCAGCGTGTAGGATTCCTGATGGAACTCAGAAACTTTTACCTACTTGTACTGGTACTAATTTACAGCTTTTTAAAACTGCAATTCTTCCCTACGTAACTTTTTGTCATCTTGTTTGGCACTTCTGTCGTGCTAGTGACAGTAGGAAACTGGAACGAGTACAGGAAAGGGCACTCAGAGCTATTTACTGTGACAGATCATCAAGTTATGAAAAACTACTGAATATGCCTGCGTACCCTGCGTAACAGACGGTTACAGGATATAGCGGGTCTTATGTACAAGGTTAAGAATAATATTTGTCCGAAACACATTGCTGACCATTTCCAGAGGACAGACACTAAATATCTACTGAGGAACGAGGAATTTGTAATACCTAGATTGAACACAATTACACATGGGAAGCATTCTATTAGGTATATTGGCCCTAAGTTACGGAATCTACTGCCCAAAAAGGTAAGGGACTTTCCTACACTATCGGTGTTCAAGCAGCATATTCTACAGCTTGACCTAAATTCCCTGCTTGCTGACGCTCAATGCTCAAATTGTACTCTATGTAGTGCGTAACTAACACACTACTATTTTTACTAAGCTCATACAAACTTATGAAGAGTTTTGACTTGATCAATGACGTGGCAGCTTCACTGTCAATTTTTCTGTTTGTTTTAAGTTATAAATACAGCTGCCAACGTTTTCTGAGTCAAAATTGTGAGAATTTTCATCTTGTCATGACCAGAACGTCTGAAACGTCCCAGCGACTTCCGAATTTTCCAGACAATTTTCCGAAGATTTCTGAACTTTGCTGAAGATGTCTGAAGATGTTCTGACTACCTTTGAGCTCTTCTGAATCTATGTAAAAGACGACCATTTTTGTGCATTGTGATACTTTTTGTGCCCAAAGTCAATATTAAGCACTTTTTGGAACATCTTCAGGGAAATTGCATTGAATTGTCCTTATAAATCATATGCTAAAAAACAATTCGCTCAAATTGGTGAGTCTGGCATGAGAAATTGTCCTTGATGCGTGAGATCGTTGTCTTCAGTCCGCTGGCCTGAGACTCACACATAATGGGTAAGAATACTTTATACACAACCCACAACCAGTTTCAATGCATGCTAAATAGGTCACATTGTACCATAGGGCGTGCTGCAATAGCCTTCATTTTCAGTATAAGTATGATGTCTCCAGCACAATACAGTTTATGCCCCTTCAGACCAAAGGTGACAACAGTCACTCCAGTCTTTATAGATTTTCAAACAACGTGAATGAAGATGTTGATGCAAATTTATGCAAGACAAAGTTCTTTTTTTAGGGGGAGGGGAGGGGTAGGGGTGGACCAGTTTCCTGCATAGACCGTTGGTGTTCAAGATACAAGTAAGGTTCTTTTAACAACACCCTAAGATCAGTACCAGGTCTTCATTTTGCGAGTGAACCCTCAGTGGGGTCGCGAAACGTCGGCTGTTTTCTCAGGTTGATGAAATACCTAAACCGGTGGACTTCCTTACAATATATCAATAATCTTGAAACTAAAAGGTAATATAAAAGGAAGGTTAATCTCAAGAATACTAAATTTTTTAAAAACTCTATCGAGCGGTTTAAAAATTATTCGCTAATTTGTTCAAGAAGACCAAAACGGTCACAAAACCGCTGACAAGAGACAAATCCCAGTGCCGGGAGGAGCGTTGCGTGACGACACTAAAAACGGCTGTGTAGCAGACTATACAAAACAAGGCAAAGAAATGTACAAAAAAGTGCACTGCACGTGCAAATTTTGCTAATTAGACCTACGAGTTTGTTTGCCGTTCTCGTTGCCGTCGCCGTTTAGCATTACACGATTTTATATTTCGTTTGAGCAAACTATAAATATTAACGAGAGCTTTGCTTTTAGCCCTGGCTGAATGTATATATTACTTGGCTCCGAGGCAGAGGGATATAAAACAAAAGAAATCGTGCTGAGATTCAGGGATTAATAATTCTTATTATTCATTCAAAATATTTCCGCGATTCTGATTGGCTAAAAGCACACGCATAATTCACCATAACCAGTTACTGATGACCAAATTTGGAAGAATTTTGTGTTTAACGAGGAAATGACGTCAAAAATGCAGCGTTCTTGCAGGTTAAGGCATCGTTAACCGAGAAGACCTGGGGATGAGGTTGAGTTGTTTTGATTATGAAAACAAAAATGGCGGACATATCTGTTGTTTCACGAGTAAGAACCAGGCGAAATTATAGCTAAAAACATGGCAAGAACAGCAAGAACACAACTCGAAGAGCGACATCTGCTACTTGAAGAACATTTGCGGAGCTGAAAAACCCTAAACGTGCACTATCGAAGGTGAACTTAACATCGATGGACGTAAGCATGTTTTGGGTTTGTTTTTAAACTAGGAATTATTTTGAATGAATAATAAAACAATTATTGAATTCGGCTTTCGTATCATATGAAGAATTATGGAGATCTCGGAGTGTGTTAGCCGCCTCGGCCTACGGCCTCGACGGATAACGCCCTCCTCGATCTCTATAATTCTTTATAAGATACTCAGCCTCATTCATTGTTAATTACTATATGGCTATAAAATAATAGCACTCACGCGCTGATTGGCTGCTGGGCGGGCAAGATTTTCTTGCAATAACCGTGTACTATGAATTTTTTTCTCGGTTCGACGGCTCTTTGGAGTTGTGAGTAAAAGCTACCTCAAAATATAACTAGGGACCTTAAGCATCGACGACGAAATGGGACGACGACGCCGACCGGAAGTGAAATTTTCCCGCGCGAACCTTCTGGGCATGCGCCAGGTTGTCAAAACGTCGTCCAGCCTTCATCGACGACTGAATCTGAGCAAGTTTTCGCTCTGGTGAAAACGTAAGTAAACAACTAAACTTTTTCATGCTGATAATCATCTGTTTCCACCTTTTGTTATAATGATTGTTTGATGTATTATTTGCGGACCAGCGGAAGTCGAATGTTTAACTTAACAGACTAAAATGACTTTCTTTCAGAGGCATCCGAAACCATGGCCGGCCACATTTCTACAGCCGAGCAAGAAATCGTTCAAAATAAATGTAAGTTTTTCTGTACTGATCTCTTTAAGGAGAATTTTGGGATATTTCAAGTCATGTTTTTCTTATTTTAGACCTTCATGTCATTGTGCTAATTTTAAGTTGCACTTCAAGATATAAATCTTCAGTTTTACCGTAAAAATATATATTTTCGTGTTCTTTTGACAGCGAGAAAGTCCAGGTATTTTGTTTGGACGGAAGACCATGATGTCTTGATGCCTCGCGAAGCTGTAACAAGCGAACCTTACAATTTTAAACCGAAAAGCAGCGAGAGAGGAAAAGTATGGGAAAGCATCGCAACCCATTTGAATTCTCTGAAGACTCCAGAATTCAGGGTTACTGCAAGGGCAGTGAGAGATCGATATGCACTCCTGATCTCCCGGCACAAACTAAAGCAAAGAGAAGAAGGGAAAGCATCTGGGATCGATGTCCCCGAGCTCACAGAGCTCGATGCCTTGCTGGAGGAAATTCGAGAGCGAGAGAAAAGCGCAGAAGAAAAGAGTGACGTCCTGAGAAACGAGAGGAAGGCAAAAGATGAGAAAGAAAAAGCTAAAGCAGAGGAAATCAGACAGGCGGCTCTTCAGACGATGGCAATTAGAAAGAGCGATGATAGTGGCGAGAAACCAAAAAAAGTTAAATTGAGGAGGAGCACCTCTGATGCAATCGGATTTTTGGCCGAGAAGTCAGAGAAAGAGAGAGAATTGAAAAAGGAAGAGTTAGCCATCAGAAAAAGAGAGCTCGATCTAGCAGAAACTAGACAAGAGGGGGCTGCGCAGCAGCAACAGACCATGTTCTCAGCGCTGATCAACACGATGCAGCAACAGCAGCAGCTTCAACAGCAAAACCTTCAAATTATGCTTGACCAGCAAAACAAGGTATTTATGGCATTGATGGAAAATATAAAAAAGCATTAAGCTCGAACCTTGTGAATGTGGAAGAGCCCTGAACTTGTTGAGTTGACTTTTGTTATGATTTTACTTATCTACAAGAGCATTGTTGATGGATGTAATTATATTTCTTTTCTATAGAGAGTTTTGTAAAGTTTCATGAAGAAATAAAACATTGTTTTTGCCAATAGACAGATGTTTTTCTGTACAAAGGGGCCTAAATGCCCAAACTTTCCCCTAATGTACAGTCACTAAATGCACAAAATAAATCTTAACAATAGTATTTATAGCTAGGTCTATTCTTTTCTATTGTTTGGTAGCTGTGCTTTTATGTAATTAGCTCATAGTATTTCTTACATTATGTGAGTCCACTCTAGAAATTGAGCCAATTTCGAGCATCATCAAGACAAAATTTCTAAAAGAAGCATGGGTATCTTCATTCAGTCATGTTAGATTGGGGTAGCTTTCACGCAGGGTTGACTCTGTAAAAATTCACCATAGTAAACATCCTGCGTCAGTGCCAGCCCAACCTCCAACAAACAGGCCCTTGGGCTCCTATATTTGTAAAATGTTTGATAAAGGAATTCCAAAAAAATAGCCTGACTCTGCAATGTTGTCCTTATTTTTTTGGGGATAAATCTCTTTTATTTCTCTTTATAAAATTAAGTTAAGTTAATTAACCACAGTTTTCTGAAAAATGGAAAATAAAGTTGGGAAATAAATCAATAGTTACAATAACATTTCTTGAAAAATAGAAAACTATTAGAAATAAAATTGTGCTTAATTTTATTATTCTTCATTTTCTCTTTCAAAAGTTCAATGGTGTGAGAAATAGTCTTTAACTTATCAGCATACAAATATCTACCATGGTTAACTGCAGTTATAAGGTTTTGATACATATTTTATCAAAGGCAATGTAAACTGAGCAATAGAGTGGTTTCCTAGCCAAAGTATGTGTCAAGAGTAGGTGGCCTAAGGTCAAAAAATTCTGAGGTCATGTTACCATACAAGCATGTCATTGCATTACGCAGTATGACAGAAACAACATAGATCTTTCCAACACTGCTGAGGAAAAGCTTCAGATCTTTTTTAAAGTCATTAAACTTAAATGAGTTGATTACATCTCCGAACAGCCATTCAACAGAACTTCTAACAGCACTCATCTCTGTATTGTACTGCTGCATTTGTGGTATCAATACACCATATCTAAAGGGTCCTTGCATCTGCACTCTAAGGGGGTAGGCAGGGTCACCATAAACACAGACTGCCTGGCCAGCTGGATTGTAGGCAAACCGACGAAGGTCGTGTAGTAGCTGTGAATCAGCAAGCATTCCTGCATCGTGTTTTCGGCCTTCTAAAAATAGGTAGGTGATGGTAGGTATCAGTGTAAGAGTAAAGGTTGCTGACAATTGGGTTACATAAGCTGTTGATTATATGAGTACTTCAGAAAGTTTTCTCTAATTTCATCTTGAGTTTATATTTATTTCAAGGGGGGGGAGGGGGAAAGTCCCCTCTTCCCTCTGGCTATGCTCCCAATAAACTCTTCAAGTGATCTCACCTTGGTAATCATTATTGAATAAGAAAATCAATAAATTTAGCCTGTCCTATAGCCTTGAAAAATGTTTCATTTTTTTTTTCAATATTTTCCCTTTTTAAAATAAGTGCAAGGTCTACAAAAATAAACATTTGGTCACATCCCTGCTTTAAAGCTGGTGGCCTGTACTGTTTTGTAACTTACCAACTGGGCCATATAGATTTCCGATCAAGCCATTTGGCAAAGCAATGCTTTGAAATTTCAGGGCATGAACCCTTTTATGCCCATTGTAAAGAAGTCGCTGATGTTCTCCAGGTCTTGATATAGGCCTAACAGTACCGTCAATAAACCCAAAACAATTGGGCAGTGGGGCTCCCCTGGCTGTCACAGCATCAACATAAGTCTGCAGGTTGACAGGACTAAGGACCTCATGATTCCAGTTTAGTACTCTGTTCCCGTGAACATTATACACAAAGTCAATCATTTGATTGGTGATCATGCTAAGAACTGGAACAGGTTTAGCGAATCTATGGACCGTGTCTCCATATCTGCATGGGTAAGAAAGCCGCTTTAGCAGCATGCAGAGACCTTCTAGTCCATCACAAACAGAGCGCTGACTGCAGGTAATCGTGTCAGGGATTAGCAAAACTTCCTTCAGAATTCGTATATCTCGTTTTCCAAAGCGAAACTCTGCAAAGCTCTCGGACTCGTCAAGCTCTTCCAGGTCAAAAGGTGCGTACGAATCGTACGGAAAGTCGGGGTTTTTTGATGCATAGAGGTCGTCCAGAACAACAAATTCATCATCATTGATAAAGCCATCGTTGTGATTAATTAGAAGCAGATTTCGGACGTTTTTGAAAGCCATAGCTAGAGCTACTTGTCAGAGAACCAAAAATCGTCGTCTCCTAAAAACAACACACTGCTTAACTTTCGTTTTTCCCGCCGAGAACGAAAGCCTCGACCCAATCCTCTTTGGGTTACAAAAGTCGTCGTCATGTATTTCGTTGTCGATGCTTAAGGTCCCTACTATCTTTTCAATAACTGAAAGAAAAATACTAGCATACCGATACTCATTGGTATGAGTGACGAAGAGAGCGACAGTTTTATTGTATTCTTTTTCTAAAGAATTGCGCTAAAACGGCCATATAAAAATTAACTTAATATATATTAACTTCGTCCGTTCGGTCAGTTCAGGGACATGTCAGACCTCGGCCATAAAGGCCTCGGTTTGAAATTTCCCTTTAATGACCTCACCCTCGGTTAATTAGTGATATATTTCTTTTGTTTTATTCCCCTCGGCCTCGGATCGAGTCAAGTTAGGGCCTGTTTACATGGAGGTGGGGGACCCCAGGTAAGTGAGGTAACCCGCCTGTCCACATAATCTCTTAATATGGTCACCCTACCTATCATGTAAACGTCAGTCAAATTAACATGAGAGATTGTATGGACAGGCGGGTTACCTCACCCACCTGGGATCCCCCACCTCCATGTAAACAGGCCCTTAGTAGCTCCTTCACGGCAAATATGTAAAATAGTTGTAGAGAGTTTAACTTATTTTCTATTTTTAACATTGTGTATAAATAAAGTTTATCATCATCATCAGTTTGAATAATTTTGATAATCCAAAACTGCCCTTTTTTTGTTTACCTTTTAACCAACCGTGAACCAACCGGTTTGCCCATGTAAGTGGTGGTCATTAGAAAACGTTCATCATTCATTAGACCTATGAACTGAGCTAAATTTTGAGCGAAATGTTCTCGTCTTGCCCGGGAACCTACAAAGGAGACTTTCAAAAGATCACTGAGCCTTAACCAGGCTCTTTAGTCAAACACCAAGGAATACTCGCCCTAATAAATGACAGGCATTACCCGTCTAAAACATTTAGCAGAGTATTATTCATTCAAAATGTTTCGCCGTTTCTCATTGGCTAAAATCCCACCCATAATTCATCATAACCAGCTATTGTCGACCAAATTTGAAAGAATTTTGCCATATTGAACTGATGACGTCAATCGTGCAGCAAAGTTGACAGATTATTGAACCGTTAACCGAGAAGGCCTGGCAAAGAGTTTGAATTGTTTTGGTAGTGAGTAAAAAAAAGGGCGGAACATTTTACTCGTTTCATCGCGAACTACCGTCTTAAAACATAGCAAGAATAGCAACAAGACAACTCTACGGACGACATCTGCTATTTGGAGTATATTTGCAGACCTGAAGAGCCCTTTATCTTCTAACCTTCGCGATAAACACGCACTATCGAGATGAACTTAACATCGACGAAGGTAAGCATTGCTTAGCTTGTTTTTAAACTAGGAATTGTTTTGAATGAAAAATAAAACAATTTTGAATTCGGCTTTCGTATCATGTGAAGAATTATGGAGCTCTCAGAGGGTGTTAATTGCTTCAGCCGATAACACATTCACGGCCTCGATCTCCATAACTTTTCAGATGATACTCAGCCTCATTCAATAATTGCTAAATATTCATCCAACGATCTATGCAGGCAATTTCCTGTTTCCTCTTCAACTGCTTGTTCACAAAACAAGACACAATGACGTTTTAGTTTGAAAAAAAAAAAACATGTTTCGGATACCTCAGTATACCTCGTCATTCTAAGAATGCGCAAACGGTAATGATCATCAGACATATAGCCCCATATTAAAACTGATGATGAAGAGTGTTAATTACAAATACAAGAAATAACTGATTAATAAATCATATTTGTCTTCAAATGTTTCATTTCTCTTTTACTGCTACCAACTTTCGGTCAAATGAAGAAATGTACTTTCGGCACTTCATGATTCCTGCGTTTCGAAATTGCAACCAAAACCTCAACGAAATATCAGATAGCTAAATATGTTTAGCAGTGTTCGCGTCTAGCCATCACATTAGGAGGTTTGGTGAAACTCATGCCAGGAATAATATAATCCTGCGATGAAAAATTATGAAACAAGGCAGATGGGCAGATGTTTATACTATGCAGTTAATTGCTAGCAGCATTGGAGGTTATTAAAAAGGACCTGACAAAAGCCAGTGAATTTGCAAGTGAAAACGTAAATTAAGCGCTGACCGCCATGTACTAGGTAGATACATCCTTAGAGGTCTAGTCACTGGAATGTCATGGCTTTAAATCTTACGTAACCCCCTAAAAGCCCCTAAATTCGTTATTATGATGATGATGATGATGAAAACCGGGTTAGCAAAAATATCAACTCATTCTACTTCTTGCCAATTTAAAACAATAAAACTCATTCAAAGGCCTATTAAAAGCCTTTATCTAACGCCGGGCAAATGTTAATGGTCCCTAGAAGCATTCCAACGAGTCCGGTGTCATTTCAGTCTAGAAATTTTTAAGTTGAGAGTGCAGCGAAAGAGTGTCTGGTTAAGGCTTACATAACAACTTAAATAGCTAGCAAAACACTACTTTTTTTCGCGGTCCGATAAACAACAGGATTTCGCACGGAATAGACAACAAACTGAATGAAACATAGTGCACAAATTATCACCTTCTTATCTGCAAAAACCGGTCTATGGTTCAATGCCATTAAATTAAGGCTTGGATCTCAATTTGCCTCAATTTGCTCAATTCAAAAGTGAGGGGTGATCTATATCTAAGAGATTTAGATGTAGGCACATAAAACTTTGCCAGCTGCACACACTTTAAGTTTGTGCCAATTTCGTGCTGCAAAATTATGCAAATTAGGCCACGTGACCTCCGTCGACTGAAAAAGCTTGTTCTGAGAACGACAACACTTTTACGTGTGTCCTCAATTATTTTACCGGTTGCATAATGTTAAGGCCCTTTAATATATCACTCCTGTGCTTGGCCTTTTTTAGACTTTTAAAAGCGAAGGCGTTAAGATGGCGTTAAGATGGGATAAAATTGACTTGGGGGACTGGTAAACAAGCTATTAGACAGGGGAAGTTGAGAAAAATTGCAAAATGTTTGCTAACCCGGTTTTCATAACTCCAGGTAGCTTTATTGTTATAATTCTTTTTTCATACAACGTGTGGATATTTTGTTTAGCTTTAATTATTGATGACACGAGAAATACGTGTATCTCAAAACCTTACGAAGGTGAAGTAAAAGCCTAGCAGAAAGAAAAAAAGGAAGGGTGGGGTAAGATAGTAATTCTGTCTACATCCACTTCTACACAAATCCCTAAGCCCAAAACAAGCGAAAAAAATGACATAAGCAGGAAAACTCAGTAAACAAGCTATTAGACAGGGGAAGTTGAGAAAAATTAAAAAATGTTTACCAAACCGGTTTTCATAACTCCAGGTAGCTTTATTGTTATAGTTTTTTTTAATAACGTGTGGGTATTTTGTTTAGCTTTAATATTGATTACACGAGAAATACGTGTATCTCGAAACCTTACGAAGCTGAAGTCAACGCCTAGCAAAAAGAATATAGGGAACAAAGCTAAAAGAATAAACATTTAAAAAAAAAAAACAAGCAAACAAACGAAATAAAAAACAAAAAGAAAGATAACATGATGAGACAATAATTCGACGATAATTCAAACGGTTCGACCGCGTGAGGATATTTTGTCTAGCTATATTCACTTATTATAATGGATGCGTAAAGATGCTTTGAAATTAGTGCCTAATTAGTCACAAAATAAGTCCACATGACTCTAAAAAAACAGGTGTCCGACTGTTTGTCAGCAACTAACTTACTGAAGCAAAAGTGTCAATCGCATTTTGAAGGCACTTTTTGACAGGGCAGGCTGTTTTTTCTCCTTTCAAATTAGGCTCTTTCTGGCTTGGGCTGCCTTGGGAACGTGGCTGCACAACATCGTAACTGCAAATCAAGGTAAAAAAAACCAAGTAGTTTCCTAATAAGAGGGTGTCAATCTAGAAATCTTGCGTCTAACGTTGAGTTTTCGTCGTCTTAACCGTACCAATACAAACAAAATACAAAAAGAATGTCGCTTTTTTGGCTCATATACGCACAGGACGAAATAACGTGTTTCCGTATTTTGTAAACTCGACTGAAACGTGCAGTTGCTTAAATCCGTCTCGTTTCCGCCCTGCGGAAACATGGTGATCTAGTTTTCCGTGGACGGGACGCGTTTCCGTTATGTTTCCTAGTCGGAAACGAACGATCATGTTTCCGCCACATTTCTGTTAGCACATTTCCGTTCTTTCTTGTTTCCATTACGTTTCCGGCGACCCATGTCCAAGATCGCATGATAAATGTTTCAGAAATTTTGGCTCTGCGTACAATCAAGGTGAATAAAGGTAAATTTACTCTCGAGATCGGGCCATTAAACGGTCAGGCTCATGCATTAAATACTCGCGCGCGTTGCATTGATGCAACGACTATGAAGTGCGCGAGGTTGCCACTGTTTTCGATTCTAAGTGATTAAAATGGCAGAGAATACCAACAGCTGTCGATAGTTGTCAGATTGATCTCAATCAGTACTGGCATAAAAGTAAAATGATCTTAGACATCTTAGGCTGAGAAAACAAGAAAGAATGGGGAGAATGGGGCCTAGAACAGAACGGAGTGCTGGTCAGCGGACGTTTCTTTTGCTCATGCTCATTGCGGTCGTTCTTTTTGGCGTCCATTTTGAAAGTGATTGCAACGGCTTCAAATTTGCCAGCTTCTGTAGGTTCTAGGAGCGTAGAGTCAGTATATTTTTGCTTTCCGATTGCACCACAAGACATCTAAGGGTTGTTATGTATATTTGTCGACCCATCGGCCTTCAGTAGTCGATCGCTTCCCTCGTAAAGCGACCCTTTTCTGACACTGGCAGGATGTGAGAGAAAAACCTCGTGATGGCCAAGAATAATTTGAAAGTTGGAGTGTTTGATTGTGCCAAGGATATCCAAGACTGAATATTGTGATGGAGAATACAGATAGCACGACGAGGTAAGCTGCCCTGACACCAAATCTAAGTTTCTTTAACCACTGATCAATAACTACTAGTACTTAGCAACTTAAAGGAGCAGTGTCACGAAATTTGTCAAAACTACAGCAGTGGAAACCACCACCAATCTCAGTGAAACATAAAAATACTGCTCAAAACATGAAAAGAAGTTTTAAGTAACAAAGCAAAGAGCAAGAGTGAGTACAAATAAAGATTTTTGTTAGTGTAAAAATGAGGAACAGATGGACAGACTTAAAGAAAGTTGAAAAGGATGGCAATTGGTCCTTTTGAAACTTGTTAGCTTGACAGTTTTCCAGATTTCATTTTTGTGGTCTTCAGTGTTTGATATAATGCTTGGGAGACATATGTTTGTTGACACAAAGCTGTGATTGATAAGTAATTTCTCAAGTTTCATAGCAAATGCGATATGGACATGTGTAAGTGTAATTACAGTTGATTTCACATGACCTTACTGCACCACGTTGCAAAGTTCGCTGGCAAATTGGATAGTACTTTGCAGAGTAGCCAATACCATGGCGAGTTAGGGAATCAAACTGCGAACTTTGAGACGTAGTAGTTAACTTTGGTGCTACTGAACTTCATAACTTAATTTACCGAGAAAGACAGTAACAAATTTCGTCGATCAATAATTTGTGCATACAGGAAGGCCCTACACAGAGTTTTGTGAACGACAAAGATCAAGTACAGTATGTATACTACAGAAATACAAAACCAGTTTGTCAAAAATTAGGTTATTGACCCACAAAGGTTCAATTAGTCGTGTAGTGACACTCGATTTGGTTTACTCATACAAAAAGTTGACAATAGTTCCAAAGGAGTGCTTATAATATAATAATGCTTTACTGAGAATGCTCAAGATAAACTTGAAGAATATTTAGATGTTTGCAGTAACTGTGATCCCAGGAATAGGGCCTTTTTTAACAAGAACTCAGTGATTAATGCAACTGGGAAAAGAAGTTACGCTAGACCGGGAGTAGTCAATCGATAAAACTTGGTATCGATAAAAATCAATGGCAATCAAGTGATTTTTATCGATTGATAACGGAAATCGGTTAAAATCGATAAACTAAATTGCTGTGTCAAATTGATATTCAAATTTTAAAAGTTTTCGGGGAAAGAGGCAGATTTAATTTAACTTGTCCTTCCCAAGATAGTGTATATCCTGAATGTGTGAGAAATGCTTTTACACTCTGTTTATTTTAATATTCTTAATTAGGGTTAGAAGAAAAAATGTATTTATTGTACTGAATAACTTCACAATCTTTTCCATCGCTCTTTACGTCTATTTATTTGTATACAGTGTTTTTAGAATGTTAGATTTTTCTTTATCTCAAGAGCAAAACGGGTGACTTTTCTATCGACCTGCCTTTTGAACGTTTTTTCATCACCTTTTTTTCGAAAGCAGACCATGATCAGAAGGCTTTTTCATCAGTCAAGCTAAATCTACGTAGCAGAATAACAAACGCTAAAATTCTTAGACTTGGAGTCAGTTTCAGTCGAAGGTTCTATCGACCTGCCTTTTCGGAACGTTTTTTCATCACCATTTTTTCGAAAGCAGATCAGAAGGCTTTTTCATCAGTCAAACTAAATCTACGTAGCAGAATAACAAACGCTAAAATTCTTAGACTTGGAATCAGTTTCAGTCGAAGATTCTATCGACCTACCTTTTCGGAACGTTTTTTCATCACCTTTTTTTCGAAAGCAGATCAGAAGGCTTTTTCATCAGTCAAACTAAATCTACGTAGCAGAATAACAAACGCTAAAATTCTTAGACTTGGAGTCAGTTTCAGTTGAAGGTTCTATCGACCTGCCTTTTCGGAACTTTTTTTCATCACCTTTTTTTCAAAAGCAGATCAGAAGGCTTTTTCATCAGTCAAACTAAATCTACGTAGCAGAAAAACAAACGCTAAAATTCTTAGACTTGGAATCAGTTTCAGTCGACATTGTTTTGGGTCCAGACTGCACTGAGGCTAACCTTAAACTAACTTACCAAACTTTGAAGAAAATCAATATCTAGTACAATTTTAGACGCGTATTTTCATGCATTCTATTGAACTAGGAAAGAGAACTTGAAAAGTGACAAGAAAAATGCAACTGCGTTGTTGTGCTTACGACACAAACGATCATGTACGACAACATCGCCTAGCTTTAGTTTGTGCCTGCCCAAGTGGGTGGGGGACGTGTTTCTCGAAGCTCATCAGTTGGAAATAAAAAAAAAATTTTCCAAACAAATCTATCTTACAATTCGGTGCCGTCTAATTTTGGTTTAAGGGCCTTACAGGCTCTTTCTCTTACACTGAACTTTAAATCAATAATTAAACGAGTGTGTAACTACATCAATTTGACGTTGCCGTGGAGACAACAAAGTTGGAGCAGAAGCTTTGAAATACAACAATTTACTCTCGCAACTTCTCTCTCGATCGATAATTTCTGATCATTTCGCAGATACTCCATTTCCAAAGTTTTTTTGAAATTTAATCGTGGAATATTTAACTTCTTAACATGCATGGCAACCTGTTCTTGTATCATTTTCCCTCACCAAGTTCGTCCGAATAAAAAATAGTTTCCTTCTTATTCCGACGACACAAGAAAAACAGAGACAAAAGAGAACTACTACGCCTTTCTCTTATTGCTCAGAGGTTATTTGTAAATCATTAGCCAGGCGTGTCCCGTCTTAATTCTAGCTAAGTTAAAAAGACTTGAGCACAAAATTGGCTCACTGATTTCGGTGATAGTGTGCCTGAGGATATTTTGCAAATAAAGGGTGTCAAGGGGCTTTTTCTAATTGTCTTTAACCTACGCTATTTGACAAATAAAAGACACCAAAGGCTGTTTTACGATTAAAACTGCCGACAAAAAAGGGCATATATCGCTCCCATCAAAAACTTGGCTTTTTCAACTCGAATTGTCACGTTTCAAGAATTACGACAGCTAAAACTAAAACTGAATTAAACCTTGCGGTTGTCTTACTGTAAAGGGATATTTCTAAAAAGGCCAGTATTAGTTTTAAAGAGATAGGATCGTGCCTTAAATCATAAGAAGGTCTGAACGTCTCTAATGCCTTGCTACGCTGCAACTTGCCCAGCGCAGTCTATAAGTAACTGACTAAAGTTCACCCACAGGTAGCCCAAGCTCACTATGAGAGCCCTGAGCAACATTATCCATTAGCTAATTAATTATTGATACGGCAACATTTATAAGGCTTTGTATGAGAGTTATCCTATTTCTCTATAACTGAGCGAAACGTACATTAAATTTTTCCTTTTAAGCCTGCACTTAGTATTTTCTAATGTTTATTTGTGTGTTGACTGCGTTTCATGCCTGTTAGGATGCCAACTGAACCTAAGAATAGCACTACCCTTCTAGGCTGATTAATTATTCACACGGCAAGAAAATTGTAGGACGTTGAATGAGAAATATTCTTTGCTCACTAAATTAATAAAATGTGCATTGAATATCGCTTTGAAGCTTACCTTTAGTCTTTTTATGTTTTTCTTTGTATTCTGACCGCAGTTCAGATCTCCTAGGCACTTTTTAATGCATTTTTTTGGGGGGGCGGGGAGTGAAAAACAGGTGGATGGGGGAAGACAGAGTTTATTGCAGCCACCTATACCTCACTGTATGTAGAGGTCGCCCCATGCAACGGAATCGAAGACAATCTTGGATTCCGGATTCCATGCTGTGGATTCCGAATTCCAGGTACTGACAGATACTGGATTCTAATCTTTGTCAATAGAACTTGGATTCTGAATTCCAATTCACGGTTAGTGGGATTCCGGATTCCAAAGCCCGGGATTCCACATTTCTCGAGCAAAATTGTACCGGATTTCGGATTCCACAAGCAGAACTTCCCTGATTCCGGAATCCGACTTCCCTTTTCATTGGGAGATAGAGGAATGTTGAAGCAGTCACATGTTGTGGAACTTATAAACTATTTTGAACAACTCTCTCTTTGTAGGTTGCAGCCAAAATCGACGCCTGAAGTTTTCTCCTCCAGTAAAAGACGATTATCTTCAAGGGCACGTCTTCTATAATATTTCTTTTGAAGCCCACATATCATGTGAAGCAGAATGTCTTCTCCGGAAAGAATGCGTGGTAATTAACATTGGTCCAACAATTAAAGGCATTAAGGTCTGTGAGTTGTGTAACTCAGATCACCTACAGCATCCAAATGATTTAAAATCAAGACGCGGCTGGACATATAGGGGAACAGAGGTAGACTGAATTATAAATTATATGTTACCAGCGATAGTGCTGTCATAATTATAGAGATAATAATGATAAGAGTTTAAGAAGGCGATGATCTAGCTTGTATAACGTTATAGTGAAGATTACGATGATGATGATGACTATGACGACGCCGACGCCGACACCGATAATCTTGAGAAGAGGGAAGTTGACTAAGATGGTACTTAAAATTTTTATAAAGTGATGATGACATATTTAACGAAGAATTTATTGAGCAGGAACTTCTGAACTGCTACACTTAAATGCCAAAAATACCTGGTACGTGGTTTTTAGTAGTCCAGTTTATGTTGCTTTTGGCCTACAAGCCAAGATCAGCCAAAGTTTAGCCCATATCCTCCTTGAAATGCTTTGCCTCAATTAAAAGCAGCAATGGCCCCAGCGAGACTGCAACAAAGACGTATAGGTTTAGGAAAACAACCAGCAGAAAAGACCTGACCGGTCTATGAAAAGGCAAGGATGTCTCTGTGGCTATGAAGATGAGGCAAGTCAGGATCCTTGAGTGAATGTCATCAGTGTTTCATATGGAGCTGATCACGGTTACAGGACTAAATGCGTCATTTTTGGCAACAAACATTTTAGGTTCTAGAAACTGTCAAATTATTTAAATATGCAAACTCATAAGATAAACAATCCCTTAATTAACTAGTGTTTATTATGGGGGAGATGGACTGCTGATATTTTCATATGTCAACAGTTTATCTTTCCCATATCAGCTGAATCAGCAATTTGCATTCGTTTTCCTTTATAATTAATTTCTACCTTAAGCGTTAACTGTATATGTTAATGATGGAAAACCTATATAATCTGATAGTATAAAAGTAAAGGAAATCTGTAGTCAAAAGGAGAGAAAGAAAAAGAGAAGCAAGCGAAAGAAAGAAAAACAAGGATCGATTTCATCTCCCATTTTCCATCAAAGCGTCGGTTTTTTGAGTTTTTCAGGCAAAATAGTCGCATATCAAGAATTGTTTTTCGTAGTGACGCTACCAACGAGCTCAGCGCAACCAAAACGACAAAGGAAACGAGAAAAATAAAAAGAGAAACAGGTTTAATAATATAAGCAAAGCAAAAACTCTGAACGTGCAGCACACTTTTCGGGTAGATTTTTTTCATCATTGCACGACTAACGTTGTCAAAATTGAATGAAATGGCAATGCAATTGTCGCTTTAACCCTTTCACTGCCAAATGTGGCCAAGGGCAAAATTCAACAAAAATTTCCAAATTTTATTTTAAAATTTTGAAAAACAAATAGTACCATGTAAAAGTACAGGAAGAAAGGTTTCATTTGAATGGTCACACCATAGGTTTTCGTCCACCGACTCAAAAGTTAGAACCCCCTTACACAACTCTTAATTTATTCACTCTGGCAGTGAAAGGGTTAATCTGTATGATCGTCCCTTCAACAGCGAGGATCGTCGCGACTTTGATATCGTCGGAAGTATCCAGAGGCTCAATTACGTAACTAGACTGCAAAGCAGTTGGGTTTTTTGCAGTCAAGGAAAAGCCTCCAGTTCCTTTCTCGGCTGGTTCGCTCTCTCGAGCTCTGCCAAGCCTCGATTCGACACAGCTGTCGACAGACTGAAAAGGGAAATGCTCGAAGTCTACAAAATAATAGTAAAATGTCATTAAGTCTCAACTACGCTTTTTTTTTTCACTAGAATATTTGTGTACACAAACCTTGCTTGAACAATGGAAAGTGTTTTCTTGGATATACAGACAAGAAGTTCCTTTGCGAATGCCAGTCTGGTTACACGGGAGAACGCTGCGAAGCAGGTGATTATGTGGCCAGCAAACGCAGACATATCCAGTCCCGTTTTCGCTTGACTGCACCACAAAGAATACTTTTCGGGCAGAAACAAACTGGAAATACGTCCACGTAAACTGTTCTCTCATACACGGAATCGCCAGCTGGTAAACTAGAAACTTACCGTGGCTCGCAGCTTCGAGATCCTTCCTTACAAAAACGAAGGTGTATACCACCCAAAAATGGAGAACAAGTGAATGTTGCTTACTAAGAACTAATCAATATTGTCAAGGTTAAAAAATATGTGTGCCCGAGGGGTTGGGTCGGGGAAGGGGGGAGATTCCGCAGCATGCAAAGTTTTATCCTGGGAAGCTCTGCCCTAAGCAAAATTTTTTCGACTTTTTCACTGAATTAAAATCCTTTTACAGACCGAAATGACACAGACTTCCTTACCCTCTCATATACTTCAACTATTGAAATCCTTACCCTTTTATACACCTGGCCCCGGTTGTTCAAACGTTGGATAGCGCTGTCCACCGGATAAATCACTATCCAGCGGATAGCGTAATTGATTTCCGTAATACCTACCCACTGGATAGTGATTTATCCGGTGGATAGCGCTACCCAACCTTGGAACAACCGGGGCCTGAAGTCTGGAAAAGGTACCTCTTTTGCAGTTCGGGCGGAGCTTCCCCGAATAGGCCATTATAGGGGGTACCCCCGGGATTAATATTTGCTCTTCTTGCAATGACTGAAACAATCAGTCTTCCCTAGGCCTGAAGTAATCAGCATGCTACAAAATTGATTATTTTCTTGCGTTGAATGTCTAGGTTTATACACGATGTACGAGGTTGGTGGCTTGCATTGTTTTCTTTTTTTTTTTTTTGTAGACCTGGACGAATGCAAGGATAAAACTCATCAGTGTGACGTAAATGCGAACTGTACCAACATTCCTGGCTCATATAACTGCACGTACAGGCCTGGCTACACAGGCAATGGGAGCATTTGTAAAGGTAAAAATTTGGGAAGACCTAAGATAACAATGACCGCAACCAGCGCTGGGGTCAATTTAATAAAACTTTTACTCGTGCAATTTACAAGTGTAGCTTTTGTTCTCAGACTCTAAAACAATAGCTATGAGTTTTATTAAATTGACCCCAAGTTGTGGTGTCCAGTGGTTTTAGTAAAAACAAGGGTTTGGGTGGGAAGCTCATAAAACCTAGTCTCGGTCATTCTTATTGACACGCCTTTATAGAGTCGGGGCTTATAGCTCCCTTTGGTAGTACTCCCTTTGATACTCTTTCCCTAGTTACACTTACACGGCTTAAAAAACCAAGATGGTCACCTGTCACAGCACTAAGCGCTCGATCTCAGCGATCTTAGGGAAGCAGTCTTTGAACTTCATCTTTTTCATATTTCTTTGATTCCAATGTGGGAGGTAGGTTTATGTGTAATTCTGGCATTTTGTTTTTTCAGATGTAGATGAATGTGCTGACAACTTACATGACTGCAACGACACTCATGCAAACTGTACAAACATCCCTGGATCCTATAGCTGTGTTTGCAACCCACTATATTATGGAGATGGAAAAACGTGCATATTAAATACACGTGAGTTAAGTGTATTAAGCCAAGAAATATAAAATGATCCGAGTGAAGGTTGGGGGGAATGGGGTTGATGGCTTAGTTGGTACTGCGTCTTAGATCCTATTGACGTTTAGAGAAGGTAGCAACTACTTTAGGCCCTCTATAGGGTGGATTTTACCCTGCGAGCAGAGTCTCCTTCGATCTTCCTTGTTATCTAGGAAGATCGAAGGAGACTCTGCTCGCAGTAAAAATCCACCCTTACTCTTGGTAATCAAATTATTATAATTACTTATGCAGTTGCGAAAAGAAAGGACTGAAAAAAATTCAGGCTTGTCTCTAACCAATTGAGAAGGCAAGCCATCTTGGAGCTGGTTTTTATAAAAATGGGTCATTCCCTGGGTTCAAACCTTTCACAAAAATAGGTCATCTCCGAATTATCACTTTCAAAATGAGGTTGAGTGCAAAATCTTTCTTGTGAAAAGGACTTTTATTTGCATGAGAATAAAAAATCATTTTCATATTGCACTTAGCCTCGCTTGGAAATAGAGGCTTAGAGCAACTGTTGGTTCGCAATATACCCGGGAAAGATTACAGCCGGGCTTTCTAACTGTAGAGCAGTTTTGGATTAGTGACGGCATATATGCAAAAGAAGTGAGGAACCTAAACGCAGAGCTCAAGTTCACTTGGAGGATTCTTGAAGGCAAATGAGCCGCAGTATTTAGTAAGAATTGTTGCAAGCATTCATGATAATAAATTTAACTGTTTTCATGTACGAGCCTCTCTATTGGCGAGTAACTGCGGACGTCGTTTTCGTCGCCCTTTTCCCATCAAATCGTCGGCTTTTCAACGAAATCGTCGCATATCAATAGTTGTTTTGCATGGTAACGCTACTAGGGAGCTCGAACAACCACAATGACGGCAATGTAACGTGAAAATAAAAAAAAGCTTAAGCATGCAACAGGTCTGATTGATAAACAGAAAAAAATACCCGAACGTGCAGCACACTTTTTGGCAATTTTGCTTGCCATTGTTGCACGAGTAACGTTGTCAACCTTTATCGAAATAGCAATGCGATCGTACCTTTAGCCCCCGTCCCGCGGACGTATCCGGGTATTTTTTAATCCACAAATTTTTCTTTGCGGATTCAAAAATTTCCACGTCCACACGTATCCGTATTCAAATCGAATTTGCCCGTCCACACGTATCCGGATTCACTCTCAGTTCGTCAGCTAATTTGTAAAGCGATCTTCGACTCACGCGAAAAATTTAAATCGCCAGTCTGTTTCACTGATAAAATTGTCCCATCAAGCACTATATTTCAAGATTTCTTTTTTAAGGTGGTCTTAATGCATCAACTATTCTTGGCAACGACAGTAGGTACTTGGAGAATTTGACGTTGTTTTTAGAGCCCGTGATCAATAGCTCAGTCCGTAGTAGGTTTGTGAGGTGTTGGCACGCTAAAGAGGACGGCTGGGCGGCGTCTACGTTCCACGGCAACTGTGATGACAAGGGACCTACTGTAACTATCATTCAAGTCAGCAGTTTCATATTTGGTGGATACAGTGACGTATCATGGAAAGTTCCTGGTGAGTACATGTACCAGGAGAATTAGGACTTTGTTTTTTTTGTTTGCTAACATTGAAGAACGATAAAGTGGTACAGCGGCGTTTGGCTTGAGTACATGTACTGTTAAAGAAAAGGATGTTTTTCTGCTTACGTACAACTCAAGGCGAAAAAGTAATTCCTTAGCAATCAGAATTGGCCATTTTCATGATGACGTCACTTGATACAACTATCAGAAGTTTGTTTTTCTCTAATTCACCATTTAAATTAAATTATCCCGGTCAGGTTTAAATCTTATAAGAATCGATTTTGAAATACATTTTAAAACAAAAGTCAATGATAAAAAAGAAGCTTGTCTTCATGTCATCGTTATCAAAGAGAGTAAATACTTCCACGAATCATGTTAATTTCATATCTTTTGATAATGATGATATGAAACCATCGAAACGACAAGTTACTTTTTTATCGTTGATTTGAGGTTTAAATCACAACATCAATAAACAAAATCTTGCAAAATTTGGTTTCCCCCTCTCCTTACAAACACCTTAAGGGGCCACTCCACAGGAGAGGACGCCTCTGGTCCGCCCAGCTTAATTTTACTGAATTATCTTTAAAGTTCTCTAACTATGTAGTGCGGACTCTTTTTAATGAAGCAAAGTGTCGCTTAAGAACTACCCCCCGGGTCACGGTAGTCAGGAGGATAAAAAGGAAAATTTTTCCATTGTAAAAAGCTAATGTTGTAGTCACATCCATGAACATTCATGTCCAAAATTACCTTTAAAAGCTGAATGAAACACGGAATCAAGTGGTTCAGCCATGCAGAGGTTGAAAAAAATTGTATTAGATGCATGTGTGATACCGTCTGTCATTTGTATTTTATGGACTTCAGGTAGGTTTCAGGTTCTGTCATAATTCGATAGATCTGAATTTAGTTACGATTCTAGTTTGCAGAAATCTCTTTTCAGGACAAAAACCCTGGTCTTTTCTACTAACACTGAGGGATTCCAGTTTAGGGAGAGCTCCCTTTCTGCTCATAGTAGTTTGTTACTGCATTAAAACTGCCTAATTTTCTAGAATTATAATTCTCTCCTCCCCCACTAATTTCAAAGTCACTACAGTGTCATTACTGCACTCAGCAAGACAACAAATGGATGTGTGGCTCATGACACTTTTTTAGGAATATTGAAAAATTTACACAAATAGAGCAAATTTTAAAAAAATTACAGTAATGCATGAGTTGTCTAGGAATGTTTGTATGTCAAGCCGGACTTGCACTCACTATTTTAAACTGAAGTCCGGATCGTTGAATATTCCCAGAAGTTAATTTTCTATGAGCGCCTTTAGTAAGGTCAGTAAGAATTGTAAAATGTCGTTATTATCTCCCAGGTTATTGTTCGTCTGGATATTCAAGTAAAGCCTTTATCTACTCATTGACCAATAACAACGGTTCTGGACACGCTGTTTACAATCCTGTTAAGCTTCGAGTCAAGTCAGATAGGAATGCTGCTGTAATCAGGTGTGATAGATGGGGACCAGTATTTGGCTTGGGTGATATTCTCATATCAAACAACTCTGCTAGTAACCAGGATTCTTATACTTATTGTGGAAGGAGCTACCCCCTCCCCCCAGGGTATTCTTTATCTGGTTTTAACTGTAAATTCTATGCTGGAAGCTACAAATTCACGCCAACAGATATCGAAGTATTCTATGAAACTACCACTTAAAGAACTGTACCCTAAGCTTTTGACTTTGTGCTTTTCATTGTTGTTGTTTGTTTGTTTATGACGATATGACTTTAATGTAACGCAATTTGAGCTCCTCCGCATCCTTCGATCCAGTTTCCCCTCTTCTTTACTTCCCATCATCCCTCGCGCCCTTATCCGTCCGCTCCGCAGGGGACCAAGCCTTCTTCTTTCACTTTAGGGTCTCTGTGGGTAGGTAAGACAGGTAACATTAATAGTAGCCCCAGTATAGATAACACGCCAAGAGACACAGAGCTGCTGCTTACTATTATCAGATAACCGTGATATTCTAATCGTGCAGTGCTCAGCTTTGGAGCATTCGTCTCTTGAGTTAAGTGATAGAATATACTTTTGTCCAGATTTCGTTAATTTTAATTTTAATTTTTTCCCCTCCCTCTGGATCCGCCACTGGGTTTATTTTGATTTTCCTAGAGATCGAGGCAAACAACCACTTACCTTAAGTAAGGTTAAGTAAGGTTCTTGAACACCATAAAATACGCGGGGAAATCATCAATGGCCCCGCGAAACATCGGCTGTTTTCTCAGCTTTGTAGTGAAATACCTGTCCAGCTTTACGGCATGTTACTTGACTGATAACACTCATTAGTTTAATTCTCTTTTGTTTTTAATAGCGGATGGTTTTAACAGAAAAGTAAATTTCGTTAGTCGGCATTTTTAATGTCACATCGCATTTAACTGAAATATGAAAATTCAGGTCATATTTAAGTTGACATGAGAACAAGGTATTTGAACAAGAGAAAACCAGGGATAGAAAAAGTATTTGTAAACAGCTTAATTGTAAATCACTTGTAGTGTTAGGACCCTTAAGTCTCAAGGCTTAACGAGGCAGCGTGGATAGATTTACAGGACGTTAGAGACTGTACAGCATGCTTTATTCCACTGGCCTTTTATTCTGCAGCTCGCTTTTTTAGGAGAAGTATCCTAGGTACTACTGCCAACGAAAAAGTGAGGGAAATTTGTGCGCTTGATATAGAAATTAGTAGTAAAGAGCAGGGCCTCTCCTGAGGTCACTATTAGCCTCTCAAAACACGAGGAAATTAAAAGTCGTCCATACAATGTTTACAAAATGTAATTTAAAAACATCTAAGAACGTTTTGAGGCTCAAATCGCCTCAAAAATAAGCAAGTTCAGTCTTGGCTCAGTCTCAGCTCAAAATTAGGCGTTCTTACATGGAGGGTCCTCATTCAATCTCGTCATCTTGACCCAAATATAGAAAAGATGTACCGTATTTATTCGATTAACCGCCTTAAGCGCTTATTAAATTTTTGGACCTTGAAAGTGGGCGTTTATTAAATTTTCACCATTTTCAGCAACTGTAGTAATGTTTATTTTCGCAACAAAACAACATCAAAGCAAGGTTTCTGTAAACTACTCTGAAGAAAACTCCGTCTTTAGGGAAGTCAGTAAGTGAATTCTCTGGTGCTGCCTCCTGGGTGTCCGACATCGTAAAGCCGGCAAACGGGTTAGGTGCCCGAGAAGCAGATACAGCTTTCTGGATTGATGCTAGGTGGTGGGCGCTTATTCGAGGTTGGGCACTTAATAACTTTTTCTGCCTTTAGGATGGGCGCTTATTCGAGGCGGGCGCTAATTCGAGGTTGGGCGCTTATTCGAATAAATACGGCATGTAAATAGTCAACCAGTAAGCCTCACAGCCGGTTGTGATGTACAACCAGCACTATGATAAATTTTGTTTCCGTTTTATAGTTGGAATTTGCAGTGTTTTTTGCTTCAGGCTTCAGGCTCAGTTCCTGTCTGAGAAAAATTAGAATGGAAAAAAGCAAAGAACAAAATGGAATCTTGCACTCCCACTGAGCCTAAGACCCTGTTTACATGGAGTGGGGGACCCCGGTCTAGTGGGGTAGGTTTCTTTTGTTTTGTCTCCGCCAGAGCGTGAAAACAAAAGAAACCAACCCCACTAGACCGGGGTCCCCCACTCAATGTAAACAGGCCCTAAGAGCTGAAGCTTCGACACTTTGAAACTTGTTCATTGCTATACAATATTTCTTAGCTATGTATATTGCATAATGTCATAGAAAATTTTGTAGGCATTTTAATAAAGGTAATTCAAGGTTTGTAGTTCGCCACAAGCCATTTAATTTCCGAGTTACTGGGCCTCTTTATGAAAACGAGATTAAGTGCTCAGCCTTTGATATGGAAATGATTTATGCAAATAACAGTCATTATCACAAGAAAAGTTATGCACTTGGCCTCATTTTGAAAGTGAGGGTTTTTGGAACTCGGAAGTGGCCTATAACTGCGTTTTTTGTCAGAGTCGGTACACACGCGAATGTCCGCCAGGTGGAGAATTTAATAAGGGACTTCAGCAATGCGGGGAGACATGAATATTCCTTCATTTCGGCAACAGGCATTAAATCACGCACGGACCTAGCGCAGACTACTGGAACGATCGAAGAAATCGAGACCAGGTGGACTCGCGCGTGTGTGCATCAACTCTTTTGAAAACGGCTTATATAAAGGGTTATGCCTTTTTTTATTTTAAACCAAATGACTAAGAAAATGCATTCAGGCGATGCCCTGCGCAAATCCAAAGCGGCCCTTTGGTTGGTTATCGAGTTCAAAGAAATGTTTTTTCCTCATAAAATGCACATAAAAATGTGCATCTCTGTGATTCGTTGGTTCAGTTTAAAGTGATAATGTGGTTGAAGGAATTTAGAGTTTCCACACAATCTGTGGTACTGCATCGGTGAGAGAGACTAACTCACAAAAAAAGTTTCATCCATTGAGTATATAAAATTAAGTGACCACCGAGAAGAACCTTTAAAAGCTGATGTTTGGAGTAGGGCCCATAAAGGTATATCCGCCCTGGTTTCGGGCGCTTGCCCTCCGCTCTGAGGAAGGACAAACATTCGAAACAGAGGTGCTCATAGCAGACCATAGAGCTGATTTAGAATGGTGCACGTCAAGTGTTATGAATTATGCTTGTTAATTAGGTAACAAAAGCTACTTATGATTAGCTTGCTGCTGTATTAAACCGGATTTAAGTATAACGTAACTTTCTGTTGTAGCTTTTGTTCATTATTGTACGTTCTTTGCCGTCAGTTGTTTAACCAACTGACTTTGAAACTTTAAAATTAAACTGAGTTCTGTGCATAGTAGTCAACCCAAGTTGTCTAGTGTTGTGGAATCCAGTGTAAGTTGAGACCTTTTCCTTGGCTTCTATCGTCAAGATTTTGATTTGCAAAACAATCTCAATGGTCACTTGAAGAAAGCAGCCAAAATTTGGGGACGCCAACACTGGTTTCTCTGCAAAATGACGTTTGAAAATGACTGCAGAAATTTGATACTGGCGACGTCGTGTGTCACTACCCAGATCTGAGTAGTGCTTCTGATTGCAATTTTCCCTTCACTCATGATCAATCAGAAGCACTACCCAGAACTAGGTGTTGGCACCTCACCAGTATGAAATTTCTGCAGTCATTTCTCAGACGTCATTTCACAGGGACACCAGTGGTGGTGTTGAAAACAGTCGGCTGTTTTCTCAGGCTATCTGATGGTTGTTCAGTTCAGTTGATGCAAGGTTGTGATGCAGCTGGGCGAGACCCAAGCAGCTGCTCTTTTCCCAAGGCCCCATTTATATGGAGACAAGTTGTCATGGGTAGAAGGGACATTTCCTTACAAAATGTGGTGAACTGTTTAGCACGTGAGAAACAAAAAGTTGGCCTCGCTTGAAGATTGACCCGCCCAGCCAGGAGGAAGGGTGACCGCATTGCTCCACCATAATGATTTTGTACACTCCAAAAAAAATGCAACAATGCATTAGCCAAAGTAATATAAAGGGAGGCGCGTCACGAAAATGTACCCAAATTCAGCCACTAAGACCTACATGTATGAACTGGTCACCAAACTGGGCTTGGGACGTACTGATAACCGCTTCCATTTTACATTGTACTCACCATCTGTCTTCTGATTGGTTAAGAGCCTACAGCTAATTTTGGAAACCAGGGCAACCTACAGATCAGCAAGTTATCTGCTAGCACATAACTGACTAATCTGTAGGTTTCGCATGCAATCCATGATTTCCAATAACAACATCAATTCAGGTTCTTTGCGACAGTGTGTTTGTCGTTACTTTCTTCAAAACAACTTTTAGATTTGGTTTTCGTGATAATCCTGAATAATCAAGGTCTCAGTAAGTGTTATCAGCATCGGCCTTCGGTTCGGCTGATAACACTTACCTTGACCTTGATTATTCTGCATATCACCAAACTTTGTCCAATAATAATTATTACTGTTTATAACAGTAGCACTCAAGGGAAAATAATACAGCCAGCACAAAAGAAGGCATGCATAGGCAAATAAAAGATTGAACTACAAGAAGGCTTCAAAAACTGCTCTGGCTAACAGCTAACAGTTTTTCAAGATTAAATATCACAAGACTGGACTGTCATAACAATATTCCCTTTTCAAAACTAATATGTGCAATTGAGAGGTACTCCAAGAAGTGAGCAAAAAGCAATTTTTTTTAATATCAAGACTCCTACAACAGGATCACTACAAATTTGACTCAGGGATGACAGTTGTTGAACTACTGTTTCCTTTGATGAAGACCCAGGTTTTTCAGAAGTAGTCAGGCTATTGTATCCTATTAGTTCCTCGCTAGTTATATTCCTGATCCGCCTTGGAACCCTGGTAGACGAAATACGAGCTCCCCTAAAAACGCCTGCGTTGGAGGCTGCCATGACCTACGCAAAATTACAGTTTTGTTTGAAACTTACCTGTGAACGTTCAACTCTGTCATCGTTTGACAGTGAAACAGAAAACAAAAACAAAAACAGACATACGCATTTTCATAAGAAAAAGATCCTTTGTTGTAGTTCAATAACCAATTAAAGAGAGCCGCTTTTGACATACAGAGCGAGCTGAAACAGTCGCGACGTAGTTTGAAAGAACACGAATTTACTTAGTAGAAGATTGACGTTTTCGCGGCAGTCGCTGTCGTGGTATCTTAAAACTCTCAAGTGGTATAGACTATTGAGCCCCGACAACTCAGGTGCGGGTCCTTTTAGTTTTTACCCAGAACAATAACTAAAGAACCTTTGGAAGTCTTTTTTCCTATCGGAACTAAGATAAAACGTCAAGTACGGAATTTAGCTTAGCTCTTGACATTGGAAATAATTCGAAGCTGAACATGCCAATTGGAACACGCGAAGAATGACGTCTGCCAAGAGAGATCTGACCATCTCATCCTAGCTAGCGTAGCATGGCGGTTTTGGTTGGGCGTGCTGGCTAATCTCATCCTATTTCGCGTGAAGCTGTCTTGTCTGCAATGCGTGATGGGCATACAAATGTGCTAGTACTAATCAAGAGCGGTTTTCAAGGAACCAATCAGACAAACGTTTCCCGCCCTTGCTTATCCACTTGCCTTATTTATGTCGCGGCCCGAGGTGGATGTACTAATCGCAGCATACGCGTATTGCGTTGCATTGGCCCGTGGAATTTTTAATATTAGAGACCATTTATAGATTCGAGGACGAGATTTGACTTACGGTTTTTCGCGTATTCTGAAAAAATAGACATCATGGAGAGCTTTATTGTACCTCTTTTTTACAAGAAACCTCAACACATTTTCGTCTTTATTGAAGGAGGTTAAGCCCACTGATAAAACTTCTAAAATCTGATAATTGTTCCCCGCAGTACGATTATTCAAGCTAAACTGAAAAATGACGACGGTTATCACATTTTCCCGCCAAAATGCCTCTGGTTCAAGGGCGCGCACTACTTTAAATAATAGTCACTGCTTAGTATTGAGAAAATCTCCGTCTGTTCGAAGTCGTCTCAGTTCTGTGGCATTGTTCACACTATACTGAATAGCTGTTCGCGGTCCCAGGAAAAGCTATTCAGTATAATATGAACAGCAACGGTCCGGGGCCGCAACAAGTCTTTCACACACATCAAACATCGTCTTGGTGTTGTTGGCCGAATGGGTTTGGTGCACTTAATTTCAGTCCTCAGTCCTGAATATTTACTTCCGCCTTACTGGGTTCCAGTTCTCGCTCCTACTTATTTCCGCGACAGACCTGATAGGTGGTCATGCTACATTTAAGTATGGCTAAAAACCTATCCGATATGTGAAGGTCCGTTTTCGAGATCGGCGCAGCGTAGCTTCCCTCCGTCACAGGAATCGCGCCGAAATCACCGTTGTGGCGTGTGAACAGAAGCTCTATTCGGTATGATTTTCGTGGCCGAGAAAAAAGCAACTCGGTATAATTTGACTATAGCCGTAGAATCGGAAGGTCTCTATTGTTTTTAAGCTAAAAGACAATTAAACATAACAGCAGGCAACTATTAGTTTTACGCTATTATCACACTGCACCGGATCGGTTTATCGTGTTGACATGAAAATGCCGCTCCGGTCTGCTTTAAACACCTGCTTACACTACCACGAAGAATGGCGCAGAGACCTATCCGATATATGACGATCAACCTTCGGCAAGATCGTGCGACCCAGCTTCACTCCGTCATTATAGAAACCGCTCCAAAATCACCGTTTTTATGTGTGAAAACCAGTGTTTGTCAGTGGAACTTGGATTCTGGATTCCAATCGTTCGTGGGATTCCGGATTCCTTGAGGTGCATTCCCGATTCCAAAGCCCAGGATTCCAGATTTCACAGGCAAAAATTTCCTGGATTCAGGAATCAGGGTTCTCTATCATAGGGCGAAAAACACATTACCATATACAGAGGAAAGGAGAAAAAACAAAATGATAGATATACACCCTGGTAATCTATCTACGAAGAGAAGATTAAATACTTTCCAACATTCAACTAAATCGATTTTTAACGTGCTTTGCAGAGTCGGCCAGCTGTTTGCTATGCACAGTTTTCATTTTTAATAATTTAAAGAGGCGGCTTGTTTTATTCATAAACAGTTAATATTACGGCAACTGTCATAAAAGGGACCTTCTGCATGAAAACATTTTTCGTCTCTAAATACGCAGGGGCGGTCATAAACGCTAATTGCTTCAATATATTTTCTCAAAACTCCCTTAATATGCTAGAAAGTTTAAATGGTGAACTTCCCTAAAACTTGTCAAACAAACCTTTTATTAAAACGTTCTGTTAATTGTCGACTGAATTTAAACAAGACATTTGCGAGTTCACAAAACTTGCCAGTTGTTTTCATTTAAGCATTTAATAACGTTTGGTTAACAGCTGTCTTTCGCGAAGATCAAGTTTGATCTCGATATTCATGCAACAGTTAAGAGATATTCTCTTTTAGAAAAAAATAAAAAACCAAAATAATTCAAAATAACTCCTCCTAACGGGGAATACAACCGTTTAGTAATAGTTAACACTACATCTGCCCCCGCTCTGTATTTGTCGGTCATATTGTAGCCTCAGTCTTTGTGTAAGCTCTTTGAAACACACCGATTCATATTGAACGTTTTCACACATTAAACATATACAATAGGTGAAATAAAAGCAGGGAACGCAAGATTCCAAGCACTGAGTCAGGTTGATCATTACTTAGCGTTGATCAAAACAAATATAAACACACTCAGCTCGACGTTTCGAGAATTTTTTTCACACGCATTCTAGTCTAGTTTCAGGACAGAATTTCGGGAAATTTCTGTAATCGTCTACCCTACGAGAAGAGTCTACATTTTCGCGGTGTGAGCTGCCGAGCGACAAGTACTGCTACACTCTAACTTTAACTGTAAAAAAAATTGATGTAGCCTCTGCTCGCAGGGTATAGTAATAGTCCATCGATTCCTCGAGGCCCCTGTTTAAGCAAATCGAGATTTTTTCTGGTATACTAACTGCATGTTGTAACTGTAAGTAGTTTCCTATATAGACGCGCGCGCTACTAGGATACGTATTTGTAATATCAGGGCAGATCCTTGAATTGCGTAATATTCTTGTTATTTCAAATTTAATAAAAGGCACCCAACAAGTGCATGTGTTACGCCGATAAAGGTTTTTTGGAAGGAGAGAACTCACTAAACGTTTTAAAGTAAAAAACGGCCTTACTCCAAAAGATCCGTATTAAACAGTGAAACAAAAATTGGCAGCTAAGATAAAGTTTCAATCGAAATGATATCCGGCTTTTATATATTATTAAAAATATGCCAAACTAAAAATATCCACTAAATTGAAGTTAAGTAAAATGTTACTTTGAAATTAACTGAGTCTGCTCATATCATACTGCTGCTCATACTCCAACTGAACAAGACGCACAATCCAAGTGCAATGACAAAAACTAAAACATGATAAAACTGTGAAAGGTTTGAACCCAGGAGTCATTTCAAAAGGAGGTTGAGTTTGATCGTCCGGGTGAACGTAGTCCTGAATAGGCCTATTGTTGTTGACAGTGACTTGACAGTGTTGTTTACAGTCACTGTCAAAAACAACAGTCCTATTCAGGACTACGTTCACCCGGACGATCAAACTCAACCTACTTTTAAAACGTGATAATTGTTTTTTTATAATATTTTTTAATTCTCAGTTCTTTCGGGAGATATTTAACAAGAAAGCTTCAAAACGCACGGCCGTTTTGGCAGATGTTAAGAAATTTAATGCAAATAGTGGCTAGCTGTATTAAAGGCAATTAGAGTTGATAAATAAAACTGAAACTGAAGGGAAGTCAAAAATAACGAACAGGTTTTAATTTTGCTGGCTGTTGCTGTTAACTTGGAAAATTAATTAACACGACAACTGATATCAGAAAGTGTCAAACTGAACTCAGTGGACTACCAGTTCGTGACATCTCAGTTTTAAATTAAGACGAAAGTCGAGAAGGGTAGCATTCTGGCAAATTCATCCGGCATGGCTGGTTGTTTCTTGTCCGTTCAAGCACTCTTCTTGACGTGCCTCTTCTGGGGAGCTTGGCTAAGCTGCATTACTAGTGCAAATCAAGGTATGACTAAAGCCAACTGTTAATATATGCACACACCTTATACATTCACCTTCATTCTTGTTTTGCTACTAGGTGTAATATTTTCAAAAAAACTTTTAAAGAGGACTTTTTTTTTTCATCTTTTTTCATAAACAAGACTTAAGTACTTTACCAAACATACAGCTTAATTTTATAACCTTCGCTGCCTCCCATTCGGAAAAAAGTTGCAACCCAACATAGAAGTTCCCTTATTTTTGGCTAAATTTGTGGATACAGTATACTACTGCTTAGAACGTCATGCGGTACGTTAAAAACCAAATCTAAAAGAGAAAAAGCCAAGGCGGGATAGATTACGATGTAGCAGGTCAACAAAATTCTTGAAGACGGTTTCGACGGCACTGGAGAAGTCTTTTTGAAATGACTTTTATGTTTTTATATAAAAGTCATTATCGTTTAGTTCAAAATGTTTGACTACATACCCCTAAATTCGTTACAACCATAAGGAAAGAAAATTCTTGAGAACTTAAAATAGAATAACTGCAACGATTATCTGAAAAGTTCAAAACTCAAGCTAAGGTTAATGAGAGAAAAAACACAGACCGGTCGTAGCTATGACAGGAAAAGTTTTGTTTGCACTTTCATAAATCATACTTCTAGTTATTCATGCAAACCTTTCTCTTTTGACGACAATCAATGACTCAACTGAACCTTTCCCACGTAGCAGAAGAAAAAACGCTAAAATTCTTACTTGGAATCAGCATCAGACATTCTTTTTTCTGCACCGAAGCCAACCTTAAACGTTAAATAACAGATTACCAAACTTTGAACAAAATCTATATCTAGTACAATTTTAGACGCGTATTTTTATGCATAATATTCAACTAGGAAAGGGAAAAAAGTGACGAAAAAAATGCAGCTGCGTTGTCGTGCTTACAGCACAAACGATCATGTACGGCAACATAGATTAGCCAACATTTATTGTGCCCGCCCAAGGGGGATGGGGGATGTGTTTCTAGAACCACATCAGTTGGAAATTAAAAACTGTTTTTAAAAAAAACACCTTGAAATTCGGTGTCGAATTTTAGAAGGGGTAGGATGATCGAGATGGTTTAAGAGCCTTATAGGCTCTTTCTCTTATACTGAACTTTAAATCAACAATTAAATGACTGTACAACTACATCAATTTGACGTTGCCGTGGAGACGACAAAGCTTCCCCTTTGAAATGCAACAATTTACTCACTGCATAAAAGATTATAAACTAAAAGAAAGGCCGAAATTAAGCGACAACAGTTTGACGGTTGTCATGACGTATTTTATTTAAATTCCTAGTTAGTGATCCTTCAAGAAACTTATTAATTAGTTATTTCGTTTTGTTATTTACTTCGGTCGGTGGGAAAGCTCCTGTAGGTTGTCTAACGGCTTCGACATGGCAGACTATTATTTCTGGCGAAATTTTTCGGGGAAAATCCCTTTTTGTCATTCAAAAACTCGCTGGGGTAGGCAAAAGTCTGAAAGTAAAAAAAAAAAAAAAAAAAAAAAAAACTAAAAGCTTCCAACATACCTCACATCAGTTCTCTCTCCGGCGATCGATAGCTTCTGATCATTTCACAGATACTCCATTTTAGTTCCAAAGTTTTTAAAATTTCATTGTGGAATATTTAGCTGCTTTACATTCATGGTAACCTGTTCTTGTTGTTGTTGTTGTTGGTGCTGTTATGTTTTTGTTCAGCAAGCAGTCTGCAAAGGATCGGTTATTCATTTATAAACAATCACGGTCGAGGAGCGTGGGAGAACGAAAGAGTGCATTGATGTTTTTTTAAGGTGTTCTCTGAATTAGCGTGGGTGAAATTAGTAAAGGAATATTAAAAAAAGACTAAGTGGTTGAGACGCTCTGCGTTCAGTTAATCTTACAAGTGTGGTGGGTGAGGGCGACCTTGAAAGCCGCTAGCAGACCTAGAAAGACCTATTTCTTGCTGCGGTGAAAGACAATACTCCAAACAAGCGATTGAGAGGTCGAAACCCTGTGCCCTGGCTCGCAGGTGCCGTTATCAATCTTATCAAGAAAGAGGAAACCGTACGCAGGAAACTAAACTAGCACCCGTCGGAGTCACTAAAAGTCAAATTTCAAACTCTGCGTTCACAAGTAAAGCGAGCGATCAGAGAAAGCAGGGACGAGTTCTTTGAGTCTGCTAACATCGAGTTCAAGATCAATCCCAAACGCCTCTGGTCAGTATTAAAAACTCGCTCAAAGTCGCGCAACATACCACAAAGTGTCTCCATGGCAACTGGTAACCTACGTGCAACCGCTGACACCCCAGAAGAAAACGCAGACATTTTTAATAGCTATTTCACTTCAGTGTTCTCTGTTCCTCAAGAGGACAAAGTAGATCACGGCGCAGGGAAATTCCCTGCTGCAGAACCCCCCTTTAGCGATATTGTCTTGCACGTCCGCGAAGTTGAGGCTGTCCTAAAATCACTAGACCCAAACAAAGCCACTGGTCCAGATGAGATCCCGGCTAGAATCCTAAAGGAAATCGCCACTACTATTGCTCCATCACTATGCAAGCTGTTCAACAGGTCTCTGGGAAAAGGCTAGATACCGTCTGAGTGGAAATTGGCCAACGTAGTGCCTGTCTATAAGAAGGATGAAAAAGATCATGTTGAAAACTATAGGCCTATCTCCCTACTTTGCATTATTTCTAAAGTCATCGAACGTTGTGTCTTGAACCGCATCAATGACCGATTAGAGGATCTTATTGCGGACTGTCAGCACGGGTTTCGGAGTGGACGCTCATGTGTCACAAATTTACTAGAGACCCTAGATTACATCGGTGCTATTCTTGATAGAGCTGGTCAAGTAGATTGTGTGTATTTAGACATGTCCAAAGCCTTTGATAAAGTTAGACATGACCTCCTTATGGAAAAACTGTGGGGTTCTGGCTTCGGAGGGAACCTGCTCACATGGTTTCATGCATGTCTCTGTGGCAGTCGCCAATGCGTCACCGTATTAGGAGCGACATCATCACGTGACCTACCTGTTACCTCTGGAGTCCCACAGGGATCAATACTCGGACCTGCTCTCTTCTTGTTATATGTGAACAACCTACCAGATTCTATCCTCAATAGCAAAGTGGCAATGTTTGCAGATGGCAAGGTAGTGATGTCTGTGGATGATGGCGCCGCTCTCCAACAAGATCTGGATAATCTGTCTTCATGGTCCGCTGCCTATGGCCTAGCCTTCAATGATAAGAAATGCAAGCTTCAGACCATTACGAGGAAGCGCAAGCCTATCTGGACGAGCTACGAGGTTAACCAGGAGGTTAACGGCAGTACCGTCAAGTCATGTGACGTAGAGCGTGACCTTGGCGTCTCCTTGGACTGTGACTTGACTTGGCACGCCCAAGTCTCTCACCAAGCTGCACGCGCAAACAAGTTGTTAGGTTTCGTTAGGAGGAACTCTAGGTTTATTCACAGTACTTCCGTAAGGCGCACATTATACCTCGGGCTAGTTCGTACTCATCTTGGCTACGCAACACAGATCTGGGCGCCCCAAGGCATTGAACTAATTTCTTAACTCGAAAGTATCCAAAGACGTGCCATCAAATTCATTCTTTGCTTGCCTTTTTTAACAAATATCTCTTACAAAGAAAGACTAATGTCTGTAAACCTACTTTCTGCTACTCGCACGAGTTACTAGATCTAGTACACTTTTACAAGGCTACGCATAATATGATTCACTAGTCTGTGGTTCCCTTTGTGCGCGAATGCGCGCGAAGGACCCGTATATCCCTAGCGAGCTCTTAATCGTTTGTGCCTAAAATGCAGGCCTTCTACCTTTCAGAAATCTTTTTTCATTAGAACCACTAGAATCTGGAACTTGCTTATTACTAGACTTGACCTAGATAATGTTACTCTTGAGTACTTTAAATCTGTTCTTTACGGTTATTACTTGCGGTTTCTAGCAATAAACTATGACCCGGACTCTCCAAGGAGCTTCAAAAGTATTTGCTTGAAATGTAACACAGCCAGGTTTTTAGACCAAGAAATTAGCTGCTGCATGTGATTTAAATTGCTACTTTTATATCCTATTATTTTTTGGGTCGGCAGTAATTGGCTTTAGCTGTTGCGGTGTCCCTGCCCAAATATTTAAGTTATTATTAGTGTATTCTTACGTTCTTATTACTATTATTTGCATATCTTCAGTGTCTTTTTTTCCTGTATTCTTCAGGGTAAAGCTAATAAAATAAATAAAATAAAATAGACGTTAACATCGCTATTTTTTTTTTTAGATACCTGTGGCCACATTCGGTATTTGAAGTTTTTTGATCGGGAGTATGGCCTTTATATGTATCTTCAAGGCCACACCTTTTTAAACCTTTCCATTGGAGCAGGCAAATCTTGCGAAACGGAATGTCTTTACCGGAGAGAGTGCGTGGCAATCAACATTGGTCCAGCAATTAATGATATGAGGGTCTGTGAGTTGTGCAACTCAGATCACATACAGCATCCTAATGATTTAAAACGAAGAGAACGTTGGACGTATAAAGGTACACAGGTATGGCGAATTTCACTGGAATAAATTAATGACGGCAATGGTTGTGAATTATCTTGTGGTAAGCGTTTAACTGTTCATAGCCCAAAAAGTGAAGTTTTAGCTATGGACGTGATGATGACAATGACGATCAAAAGATAGTGATGACGACCCTTGGGTGTCAGAGACTTTTCATATGCGGTTTCCTGTTTCGGTTTACTGTTATAGTGACCGCTCGTGTCTTGGGTTCTCTCCCGAAGATTGCACTTGTCCGTCTTCCCTCCAGACAGGGGGAACCAACCAAAACTTTTACAAAGTCTAGCCAAAGATCTGTTGAGCGGCGATGAAGAAGACATAAAAGAATGATGAGAATGGTAATGGAGAGCATTGACTACTTGCAGTCTCTCAGGATGGTCGCGCGCGCGAAAATGTTACGTGTGAGCGAGCGAGCGAGGCAAACGCACAAGGGGGAAGCCGGAAAAGGAAAAAGCCCCTCTCCAGTTCCCTTCGCGAGGATCTGAATGGGGGTACCTAGATAACACTAAACACTTCATTTTTTGGCTTTTTAACATTTTAGGCATTTTAACATTCGACAGACTGAAAAGGGAACTGCTCGAAGTCTACAATATAATATTAAAATTTCATGAGTCTAAATTACGCTTTCATTTTCACTAGAATATTTGTGCCTACAAACCTTGCTTGAACAATGCAAAGTGTTTCCTTGGATATACGGATAAGGGGTTTCTTTGCGAATGCCAGTCTGGTTACACGGGAGAACTCTGCGAAACAGGTAATTATGTGGCCAGCAAACGCAGACATATTCAGTCCTGTTTTCGCTTGACTGCGCCACAATAATACTTTTCGGGCAGAAACAAACTGGAAATACGTCTACGTCTACGTCTCTCATAGACGGAATCGCCAGATAGTAAACTAGAAACTTACCGTGGCCCGTTGCTTCGAGATCCCTCGAGGTGGTTAGAAAAACCAAAGTGTATCTTACCCAGAAATGGAGGACATATGAATGTTGCTTACTAAGAAATAATCAACGTTGTCAGGGTTAGAAAACGTCTGTGGGGGGGTTCTGCAGCAACGTTTTATCCTGGAAAGCTCCACCCTGAGGTCTAGCTCCTTACCCTTCTATATAACATTTTTTTAGAGAAAAGGTATCCCTCCCTTACCCAGTACCCTCCATTGACAAATGGTACCTCTTTCAAATACCTATTTTAGAACTTTGCATTACTTTTAGCAACTGAAAATGTACTGTCTTTAAACTGTGAATAAATCACAAAAGCAGGAAATGTTCTCGACTTTTTCACAGACCAAAATGACACAGATTTCCCTACCCTCTCGTATACTTAAACTCGTGAAATCCTTACCCTTTCAAACTCTTGAAGTCTGGAAAAGGTACCACTTTCGGGTGGAGCTTCCCCTTTTAAGCTATTGTAGGAGATACCCCCCGGGATTTATGCTTGCTCTTCTCGACATGAGAGAAACAATCACTCTTCCTTGAAGCAATCAGCATGCTACAAAATTGATTATTTTCTTGAGTTGAATGTCTAGGTAACGGTGTGCGAGGTTGGTGGCTTGTATTGTTTTCTTTTTTTTATATTAGACCTGGACGAATGCGAGGATAAAACTCATCAATGTGACGTAAATGCGAACTGTACCAACATTCCTGGCTCTTACAACTGCACGTGCAGGCCTGGCTACACAGGAAATGGGAGCATTTGTAATGGTATAATTAACTATCCAAGACTTCACTTCATTTTTCTGCAAGTAATTTAGTCTTCTTTGTAACTTAATATTTTCTACTCCCTCCAGAAATTGATGAATGCAAGGATGGAAGTCATGATTGTCACATAAATGCCAACTGTACCAACATTCCTGGCTCTTACAACTGCACTTGTAGGCCTGGCTACACAGGAAATGGGAGCATTTGTAATGGTATAGTTAACTATCCAAGCCTTCACCTCATTTTTCTGCAAGTAGCTAAGTTTTCTTAGTAACTTAATATTCTACTCCCTCCAGAAACTGATGAATGCAAGGATGGAAGTGGACCTGCGTAGCAGGCGAAGGGAAGTATTTGGGAGCAAGAAAAAAACGGGTGGTGTCCCCCTCTTTCTTGCGCTCACTACTTCCAAGGACATGCTACGCAGGCTAGAATGGAAGTCATGACTGTCACATATATGCGAACTGTACCAACATTTCTGGCTCTTACAACTGGACGGGCATTCATGGCTACCAAGGCAGTGGGAGCATTTGTAAAGGTAAAACTTGGTGATAAATGTCATGATAAGATTTAATTTATATTCGTTTCTTTTTTTTCTTTTTCTTATTCAGACATCGATGAATGCGAAAAGGGAAGCCATGATTGCCACATAAATGCGAACTGTACAAACACGGCTGGCTCTTACAACTGCACATGTAGGCCTGGCTACACAGGCAATGGGAGCATTTGTGAAGGTAAAAATTTGCCGGTTAATTTTTATGACGCACCTTTATAGAGTCAGGGCTTATAGTAGTTCCCTCTGGTAGTACTCTCTTTGATACTCTTTCGCTAGTTACACTTACACTTAGAAAAACCAAGATGGTCACCTGTTACAGACTTGAACAAGGAAAATGTTGTCTTGGATATACGCACTGAGGTACTTTTCCAAATGCCAGTCTTGGATAGAAAACATGTCTGTCCCGGGATTGGGGGAATTCCGCAGCAAAGTTTTATTCTGGGAAGCTCTGCCCTGAGGTCCAGTTCCTTACCCTTCTGAATATTTTTTTTTTAAGAAAAAAGGTACCCCTCCCTTACACAGTACCTTCCACTGACAAATGGTATCTGTTTCAAATACCTAGTTTAGAACTTTCCATTTCTTTTACTGCTGTAATTGTCCTGTCTTTAAACTGCAAATACATCACAAAACTGGCCAGGAAATTTTCTCGACTTTTTCACAGCCATAAAATCCTTCTGTTAGCCCTTTTAGGTCCTTTTACAGACCAAAATGACACAGATTTCCCTACCCTCTCATATACTTCAACTATTAAAATCCTAAACCCTTTCATACACCTGAAGTCTGGAAGAGGTACCCCTTTCGAAATTCGGACGAAGCTTCCCCGTAGAAGCCATTATAGGGGATACCCCTCGCGATTTATGCTTGCTCTTCTCGCAAAGAGTGAAACAATCAGTCTTCCCTGAAGTAATCACCATGCTACAAAATTGATTATTTTCTTGCGTTGAATGTCTACGTTTATATACGATGTACGAGGTTGGTGGCTTGTATTGTTTTCTTTTCTTTTTTTTTTTAGACCTGGACGAATGCAAGGATAAAACTCATCAGTGTGACGTAAATGCGAACTGTACCAACATTCCTGGCTCATATAACTGCACGTGCAGGCCTGGCTACACAGGAAATGGGCGCATTTGTCACGGTATAATCAGCTACCCATTAGCCCTCACTTCATTTTTCTGCAAGTAGTTTAGTTTTCTTTGCAACTTAATATTTTCTACTTCCTCCAGAAATTGATGAATGCAAGGATGGAAGCCATGATTGTCACATAAACGCGAGCTGTACCAACATTCCTGGCTCTTACAACTGCACATGCAGGCCTGGCTACCAAGGCAATGGGAGCATTTGTCAAGGTAAAAATTTGCCAGTTAATTTTTATGACGCGCCCTTATAGAGTCAGGGCTTATAGTAGTTCCCTTTGGTAGTACACCCTTTGATACTCTTTCGCTAGTCATACACTTACACTTAAAAAACCAAGATGGTCACCTGTTACAGACTTGAACAAGGAAAATGTTTTCTAGGATATACGGACAAGAGGTTCTTTTGCAAATGCCAGTCTGGGATAGAAAACGTCGGTGTCACGGGGGTGGGGGGAATTCCGCAGCAAAGTTTTATCCTGGGAATTAAGCTCCGCCCTGAGGTCCAGCTCCTTACCTTTCCGTATATCTTTTTTAAGAGAAAAGACACCCCTCCCTTAAACAGTACCTTCCATTGACAAATGCATGGTACCCCTTTCAAATACCTAGTTTAGAACTTTCCATTCCCTGTGAATAAATCACAAAACTGGACAGGAAATTTTCTCGACTTTTTCACAGACATAAAATCCTTCTGTTAGCCCTTTTAGGTCCGTTTACAGACCGAAATGGCACAGATTTCACTATTGAAATCCTAAACCCTTTTATACACCTGAAGTCTGGAAGAGGTACCTCTTTTGCCTGATTCGGACGAAGCTTCTCCTTAGAAGCCATTTTAGGGGGTACCCCTCGGGATTTATGCTCGCTCTTGTCGCAAAGAGTGAAACAATCAGTCTTCCCTGAAGTAATCACCATGCTACAAAATTGATTATTTTCTTGCGTTGAATGTCTACGTTTATATACGATGTACGAGGTTGGTGGCTTGTATTGTTTTCTTTTCTTTTTTTTTAGACCTGGACGAATGCAAGGATAAAACTCATCAGTGTGACGTAAATGCGAACTGTACCAACATTCCTGGCTCATATAACTGCACGTGCAGGCCTGGCTACACAGGAAATGGGAGAATTTGTAATGGTATAATTAGCTACCCAAGCCTTCACTTCATTTTTCTGCAAGTAATTTAGTTTTCTTTGCAACTTAATATTTTCTACTTCCTCCAGAAATTGATGAATGCAAGGATGGAAGTCATGACTGTCACATAAATGCGAGCTGTACCAACATTCCTGGCTCTTACAACTGCACGTGCAGGCCTGGCTACCAAGGCAATGGGAGCATTTGTCAAGGTAAAAATTTGCCAGTTAATTTTTATGACGCGCCCTTAGAGAGTCAGGGCTTATAGTAGTTCCCTTTGGTAGTACACCCTTTGATACTCTTTCGCTAGTTATACACTTACACTTAAAAAACCAAGATGGTCACCTGTTACAGACTTGAACAAGGAAAATGTTTTCTTGGATATACGGACAAGAGGTTCTTTTGCAAATGCCAGTCTGGGATAGAAAACGTCGGTGTCACGGGGGTGGGGGGAATTCCGCAGCAAATTTTTATCCTGGGAATTAAGCTCCGCCCTGAGGTCCAGCTCCTTACCTTTCCGTATATTTTTTTTAAGAGAAAAGACACCCCTCCCTTAAACAGTACCTTCCATTGACAAATGGTACCCCTTTCAAATACCTAGTTTAGAACTTTCCATTTCCTGTGAATAAATCACAAAACTGGACAGGAAATTTTTTTCGACTTTTTCACAGACATAAAATCCTTCTGTTAGCCCTTTTAGGTCCGTTTACAGACCGAAATGGCACAGATTTCCCTACCCTCTCACGTACTTCAACTATTGAAATCCTAAACTCTTTCATACACCTGAAGTCTGGAAAAGGTACCCCTTTTGCAATTCGGACGAAGCTTCCCCATAGAAGCCATTATAGGGGGGTACCCCTCGGGATCTATGCTTGCTCTTCTCGCAATGAGTGAAACAATCAGTCTTCTCTGAAGCACTCAGCATGCTACAAAATTGATCATTCTCTTGCGTTGAATGTCTAAGTTTATATACGATGCGGTCAGCATAAAACACAGACTGCGAACTGAGGACCACGGACTGCGGACTTGGTATAAAATACGGACTAGGTATAAAATGCGGACTCCGGACTGAGTATAAAACACGGACTAGGTACAAAACGCGGACTACGGACTATATATATAAAAACAGCTTTAGAAGTTAAAACTGAGAGAAATGGAAAGCGGACTAGCAAAAACAGTAGTCCCAGCTTTAACATTCCCTTGGCTGTTCAAGTAGTCTATTCTTCCCACGGAGAAGGAAGGTTACGCCCGGTACTCAAGGCAACTGAAATTAAACTCTGAATTTTCTAAAAAGAAGGAGTTTGAAGAGATTTCAATTTGCTGTTTTAGACCAATAAGAAGCAGCAAATTAAAAAAAATAGTATTGGTGTTAGTCAGATCAGTAAAATTCTTATCGGATGCCACAATTTTGTTTCAAATAAAGCCTTGGGAATATGAGGACTGAATGAAGAACTCAGACGAGAAGGTCAATGTAGGGCATTCCGCGATGCACAAAAGCAGTATTTAGGGGGGAGGGATTACTCACATACGGGAATAATAACCGAAATGAGTCATCCAACGTTATATTCTAAGCGATGATTATAATGACATGATTTACTCCCTGCTCCTGATCCCCGGAGGGGGCTACTACTGGGAATTCTTGGTGGGGGTGTGGTGCCCGGTTCTCCGAATCCTGACCTTACTGCAGACCAAAAAATGTCATTTTCCACACCCGTTTTCAGACCAGATCTCTAAAATCCATACCAATTTTCGGACCTGGCCTAATTTAGCCTGTTCCAGGTTCTCAGATAGTTGGGGAGACTCCCCAGTTTTCTCCCGTTTTATTGCTGTGTTTTTGCTTTCTCAATTCAGAGGACCCAACTATCTCAGAGCCTGGAACAGGTTAGGTCTAACAAGAATCGCCGAAAGGCGATTTTTAACTGGGCTGCAAAGGGGCTATTTTTTCTGAGGGGAGGGGGCGGCTATACACACTCAGGCTATCATTAAACCTTGTCGGCAACCATTGGAAGCAACAGAATCTCATGTGAGACTGAAACATAAACTCATTCAGAACATTGTACCCTTTTGAAAGACTTTCGTGACCAAAAAAAAAAGAGTACCATTTTTAAGTGGGGGCTGTATAATAACTTTTAAATTCCACCATTATGAATAAAAATAAACAAGTTAGCCATTAATTGTAAGCAGGAAACAATTTGCATTATTTCCACGCACCCCTCCCCCAATCCCTCTGTGCCCCAAAATATAGCGTGACAGTATAACGTGACTAATTTGACGTTATCGGAAATTCCAATAATTGTTGTCCATGTACGAGCATAAAATGCGACAGACTGAGCTGATTTACACTAGACAGAAATATTGTATTGTATGAAAACCAGAAGTATACTAAAACAGACAGTCAACTGCCCATTGATCCCGCCTGATCCAGGGGCCTCAGTGACTGCACGGAGACTTAACTGCGCTTTTCACAAACATGCGAACTCTACAGTTCAAAAGCCACCTTCACAGTTGTGTTTATCGCTTCCGTCAATCATAATTACGATCACAAGCAACGAACCTTGAAACAGAGAAAACACACAAAACGGATCGAAATCCACAAATCACAAACCATGACCTTTTGAACCCGTGAAGTAAAGTTTTGTTTCCTAAGAGGTCCGTTAAGATGATTGACAGCAGCGAAAAACGCAATCGTCGGTTGGCTTCTGAACTTGAGAATTCGCATGTTTGTGAAAAGTGCGATCCTAATTTGCGGTCCACAGTCCGACATGAAAACGCACTATTTTTTCCACAAGATGAAAATATTCAGTTTTAAGATTTTCCTCATGGTATTTTTCTCTAACTTAAAGGAATAAAATCCTTTGCATTTTGAGACCTAAAAAAGTTAAAAGATTTCTCGCTCGCATGTTGCGTTCACCAGCACGCACTTCAAACAATGTAAATAGATGAAACGATCGATAACATATTTTTTACCTGATACCGATGTGGGTTAAAAATTCGCTCGAGTTCTGTTTGTCTCACCCAAGACTAACTTTTCTTCATGGAAGATAACTATGCCGCATTATAACTCGTCCGAAGTTTTTGTGCCAGCTAAACAATATGGAAACACTATTCACAGTCACTCCTTGGATAATAAAAAAGACTGAACGTGACGCACTATTTACTTCTGATCCCATCTTCAAGCGAAGTATCTCTTTTCAAGCGATTCATCGCAATGCACAATAATTGACCCTTATGTTAGTTAAAATCCTATGGTTCATTTATATTAATGCTGTTTTTGCCCCTCACATTGACTGTGTTCGTTCGTGACGCACTATTTACTTCTGATCCCATCTTCAAGCGAAGTCCCTCTTTTCAAGCGATTCATCGCAATGCACAATAATTGACCCTTATGTTAGTTAAAATCCTATGGTTCATTTATATTAATGCTGTTTTTGCCCCTCACATTGACTGTGTTCGTTCGTATTCAAAACACCTTTACGAAAATAAAGGTCGTATAAGTCATGTGTATTATGTTTCGAGATAAATGGATTATACGCTTTTTTAAGTTTCCATTTTGCGGTGACTTTAGTTACATCTCCATAAAATGGTAAAAGAAATATCACGAAACATCACGAGAGCTGACAATTTTCAAAGGCATGTTTCTGAAACTCGCTAATGCTGACATCAATATAGCGTGCTTGCTGAATGGGCGAAAACACAGAATTGTGATCACAAGATCTTGTACAAATTTAATGAAAAAAGCTTAGCAAGATACAGATACAAACAAAAGCAAACCCCCTGAAACCTCGACGTGGGCTACACTTGTATGCTCTACTCAGTCACCAAACCTTGTCAGTAATAGCTCCCGGCATACTGTATTGCGTGAACTGGACTGGACTGGACTGGACTGGACTAGTAAAACGCTGACTAGTAAAACGCGGAATAGTAAAACGCCGACTAGTAAAACGCGGACAGGTAAAACGCGGACTAGTAAAACGCGGACTGGTAAAACGCGGACTAGTAAAACGCGGACTAGTAAAACGTAAAGAAAATGTTGGCTTTATTAACACGATCATCCACTATTCAAAGAACTTCTCAAGTGAAAATAAGAGGTATCATAACTCTTAACATTAATGTATACAATAGAAATAAATCTACAAATAAGATTCATAATCTAATTTAGCGTCATTGTTATATGTATCATATATATAACATTGTTGTGTAATAGTTATATCTAGAAATGAACGTGATTGTATTGTAGGTGTTTAATAGCAATAAAAACTGCATAACTTTGGAGACTAGAGCCGACAATTTTCGTTTTGTAACGAAACTGAGTTATGTACTTGTAGTTAGCACAAGGTCAGCAGGCGGATCGGGTATGGTTCCGTCTGGCTTCAAGGAGTAGCCACAGCCATAACATCGTGTAACCTTGCTGTCCAGAAACGCATGTCTGGCGAAAACAAAGATTCCTGGTGTAGGCTTTGGACGCTGAGGGTACATGGGCGGTGTGTTTTCTTTGACTTGCTGGCGTTCATGTTGTTGACAAGGATAATTATAGATGAGATGCGATGATTCTGGGACGTTGAAACCATGACTAGGCTGGATCGGAGCATGGGGCGCGTTGAAAGGCGAAAATGTGATGTTTTGGTCAGAGGCGAAAGTTCCAAGTGGTCTGACGTTCCAGGAAGAGTTGGATTTGAAGAGACCGTATTGCTTAAGGGCTCTAATGCAGGCTGCAAGACCCGACTGCGAACAACTTATCTTCCCTCAGTCAATGTTTTATTGCTGCCACCATTTTGTTTTCTTGTTCCAACTTTTTTACCTGCGTTCTTTGCCATGTGGGGCACTCAGCTTACACTTTAGCCCAGTCACCATCCATTGTGATATAATGTTGATTGGAAACCAGAGTATTTCCAAGTTTTAGGTCTCTATGGGCTATGTTTTGGCTATGTAGATAATCTAGTCCACTTACAACATCCCTTGCGCATAACAAAAACATCTGAGAAAGACTCGACCTCGAACTCGTCATCAATGAAATGAATGAAATCCTCAAGAGAACTCACTTTCTTGTCAACTTCAAGAAAATTGAAGTCGAAACACGAGTACTCCATCATAATGGCGTACGGTTCTTGGCAAAATTTCAGGAATTCACACACATTTCTGGCCCTTTACCGTGTTAAGTATTGCAGCCTCTTTCTCAAATCTTCGTTTAGCCTCGTCCGACTCTCCTTTCATTTTCTTTACGATGGCATTTTGCTCTTCTTTTTCGTAGTTCACCAGATACACAGAGCCAAACGTCCCACTTCCAAGCTGTTCTTTTATACTTATATCTCTCCATTCGAAAAGCGGAAAATTAACAGGAGGTTTGCCTTTTTTCACGAGACACGATAGCTTGAAAGAAGCTGTCATCTTCGCGCGACAATTACAATGCAAATTTTGTTGAATGTTGGCGCGAGTCTTTGATGACGTCAAAGGTCACCAGACCATTTCCGTCTCCTGTAGCAAAATAAGAGACCGTCTTGTACGTTTCTCTCAATAAAATTTTACTCCGGGGCATCTAGTTTTGAAGCTGGAAAAAATAAGGTTTTGTACTTTTTGTTGCGAATTGTTCCTTTATCAAAATGTTTATAAACCTATTGAAGAAAACAAGGTACTCATTGGACGTGTTGCGTGACAGAAAGCAGGCGATCCGAAAATAAGACTATTTTTATCATTAGTCAACTGGCTGCTTAAAGATTCGATGAAACACAATTACGATTATGAACTGGTGATAAATAAATTTCTTCGCGGCCAAAACTTTTTAAATTGTTTGTAACTGGTGCATATAAACCCCTTTTGTAGCTAAAAGGTCAAACAGGGGTTGTTACGCTCGCTAAACCGTCGGAATAAAATAGCCCAAAAATAAATGAACAGAATTTCTAAACGTAAATTAGTTTTTGTAAAAGTCTGTTCACCGTTCAGTTTTATCCGATTTACAAACGAGGAAAAAATCTAAAAAAAAGACGTCCGCAGGAGCCTATCGTGAGTCCGCGTTTTACCAGTCCGCGTTTTACTAGTCCGCGTTTTACCAGTCCGCGTTTTACTAGTCCGCGTTTTGCTAGTCCGCGTTTTACCAGTCCGCGTTTTACCAGTCCGCGTTTTACTAGTCCGCGTTTTACTAGTCCAGTCCAGTCCAGTCCACGAAATACAGTATGCCCCTATTTTCCTCAAGTCGCTCTCTGTGAAGCTCCCGGATGGGATGTCCCGGTGAAGCTTTAAACTTGTGTGCGAAATTCTCAGAGTTCCTATGTTTGTCCGTGTCTTCTTTATCCTCAGTATCCGAAATTTAGACCTCCAAAGTGGCGTGTGTTGCATTAAATAGAAGGAAATATTTAAAGGAAAAGCTAGTCTTCTAACATGGCAAAGTTGTCACGTCCCTCGCTCATGGACGTGCATCACATCAGGATTCATCTGCCATTCATCGGCAACTGAGTTGTTCGCTTCACTGACTATGAAGGCTTACAATCAAGTCTTCAGCCATATTGTCGTCAACTGGTGAAATACTTTGTTCATAAATTGTGCTTCTTAATTGCTCATGTACTACATCTATCGATAGTTCACGAAGCGGCCACGGCGTTCCAAACCTGACGCTCACAGTCATCTTTTCAGTCTTTTAGTGTGAACCTACCGTGAACGGCGTGTCGGATTGAATGCAACGCGAGCATTTCTCTGAGTTTCCCAGCGCCAACATCATCTAACTGACTTAAACTCGAACAATAAAAAAATTATATAGTAACTCCCATGATCGAATCGCTTCGAACAACACAAATAGCCTTCTTCAGGTTCGCAACGCCTTGTGGGTTTTTCAGGGGGAGCGCAGACAAGGTACAAAAAGTATCCGTGCAAGGGTTCATGCAAGAGAAAATCCTATGAAACCATTTGTGAGAACATCGTTTCTGCGTACCAGACCCTCGTGTTTTCCCTCCCCCGGATGACCACTTTTTGACACCGACGACCGAAAACCCATTTTATCACTGGGCTTGCCGGGCAGCCCAGTAATTAGGCAGAAATTTTGTCATCATTGCCAAGGTAGAGCGGAAACAAAAAGATTCTCCAAATGCATTTCGAATTCGCACATTTCTATTTCGTTCTTGTATTCATTTGGAATTGAAACGATAAATACGTCCATTCATGTACGCTCCCGTAGTTCCCTCGAAAACCATACCTGATTCCACACCAAAATGGGCAAAGTGTTCTCAGACCAAAAAGGCCCAAAACCATTATATAAGGGAATACCACCCCTGATCCTGACCCCTTTCATGATTGTTAGAGACCGAGACAAAGTCTAAAAATGGGTGAAGAAAATAGCATTTTGATCCGGCTCATGATTCAGAGAACCCCGTACGAAACGAGCAGCGCTGCTGCAGCGCTGCAGAATGGCTTCAAGAAGCGCTACAAAAGAGCTGCAAAAGCGCTGGGCTGCAGCAGCCGCAAATTTTGGCTGCAGTGGAAAGCCCTTTAACAGCGATAAACAGCGCTTTGGCAGCGGTGCAGAAAATTCTCGAATCACGATCTGCGCTGCAAAGTGGCTGCCGAAGTGGCTTCGAAAAGACAAAGAATGTTGTTACCGGTAATGGCCTACCACTTGTTAGTACAAAAAAAAGAAATGCAGGCTCCAATAATACAATAATCATGATACATGGTAGAGGAGTTGACAAGGCCTTAGTAGCGGAGTAAAAACCACTAGAAAGTCAAAATGCAACTTATACTTTATTAGTATCCACGCGTACACGCTACAAAAGTACGTGACATGATACAAATCTGCAACAGTCTCGCTTTGTAAATATTTAGCAATCACGGTCACTCATCTGAATGTAAGAACATCCATTAACATGCAGACATTGAAAATTATCTTTTTTAAAAATAAAGAGAATAACAGCGATTGTTTTACATAAAGTTTACACGGACAGCAGGCAAATGATATTTTGATTCGTTGCAACGGGCTAAGCTGAACATTGCTCACCTTGACGTTTTGTCCATGATCCACGATCTTCTACACTTTTTTTCATGAAAGAAATCAACCCAGTTTTACTTTGGTCGTCGTTAAATTTTACAATGGACTAAGGAACGAACATTACCACGAGCGTATAAGAATCTTGTAAGTGCGAACCCCATCTGAGATTCTTGTATATGTGCTACTTGCTCTGGTTCGATTCGTTGATACTTAGCGTAGAAGTCACTGTTCAGAGCGTTGTTTGCAAATACGTTTGAGTTGTTCCATCCAAAAACTTCAACAGAACTTCCATTTCGAAACAGAACTAGATGTAAAAAAACTTAGAATGTTTGCGCCTTTCATTCAACGGTCGCAAATGTTTGGGCAATCCCGTGTTGTCTAGAGATGTAATGGGATCGCTCGCAGTTGATGACAAAGAAAAATCAAACCTGGCCAACAATTTCTTCTCTAACATCGGAGAGAAACTGGCTGGCAGTTTCCAGCCCCAATATCTATCTCACCAGGCCACGTCAACTAAGATTGTTCCCTGTGTCAATAACATTGCACTATCGCCTTTGGCCATTGAGAGAAAATTAGCTAATCTCAAAACAAATAAAGCGACAGGACCCGACGACATATCACCGAAAATAGTCAAGGAAGCTGGAGATGCATTGCTATCCCCGTTGATCTTCCTTTACAATATGAGTTTGAAAGATGGTTACGTCTTTAGCCAGTGGAAGACTGCGAGAGTCAATCCTGTTTTTAAAAAGGATGACGAGACTGAAATCGGAAATTATCGCCCCATATCTCTTCTCAGTGTTCCGAGCAAAATACTCGAAACCATTGTTGCTGATTCGATCATTCACCATGCGTTTATTGAAAATAGTTTAATTACAGACAAACAATGGGCTTACAGGAGAGAATATTCTACAGCGCTGTTGCTAGTACATATGACAGAAATTTGGAGGAGTGCCATTGATTCAAATAAAGTTGTTGGTATATTGCTGGTAGATTTCCAGAAAGCATTCTACTGTGTCTCCCATAATGTGCTATTACGTAAATTAGAAAATGATTTTGGAATTAATGGAATGCTACTCGACTGGCTGTACAGTTACCTTGACAATAGAAAACAATATACTGTCCTAAATGGTATAGCATC